GAGAAGCTGATCAGGGACTTCGTTTGCTCTGCACTACCCGACTCACTGGACCCTCTGCAATTTGCATACCGCCATAACAGGTCCACTGATGATGCCTCACTGGATGCGTCACCACCTAGTATGGCAACAGCACCGCCTACAACTGCAAAGCTCTCCAGAGAGTAGTGCGGTGCTCTGAACGGATAATTGGAGGTGAGCTTCCCTCCCTCCAAGACATCTACAGGAAGCGGTGCCTGAGGAAAGCATAAACTGTTCAGACTACTTCCATCGGGAAGGAGGTTCTGCAGCATCCGGTCCCATACCAGCAGACTGAGAGACAGCTTTTTCCACCAGGCCATCAGACTGCTGAACACGTCATAGACACCTCACCTTCACTACTGGAACTTCAACATTATGCACTCCATACTGTATATAAATGCCACTTGTTTTGCACAATATCCAACTACCAACCTCTGTATATTTTATATACTTTTATTTTATTGTTTACTCTATTTATTTGTAAAATATGTACACACACACACATATATATACACACACGTAGATATACATATTTAGTTTACACATTCAGTAATATGCATACACTCTTATATTGTACATATATTTATTCATATAATTCTCAGATTTAGCCATTCTTATATGTTGCTTGTCTTATGTTATTGTATTTTTGCACACCTCTGTTGCTTGTGAAGCTTGCACACAAGAATTTCACTCACATGTACTGTACCAGTTTACCTGCACATGTGATGTGACAATAAAAGTGATTTGATTTGATTTGTTTCTGTATGTATCAGCATCTATGATTAAACAAAGTTTTTCCTCCACGTGGTTAAGAAGAGTATTCTAGGACTCTCAAAATGCCTCCATAACACCAGTAGGTGTTTTTAAAAGGACAAATTATTTTATGGGAAGTTGAACTTCCTTTTACTGTTAATATATCAACAAATAACTAACAAAGAAAACTTGAAAAAGGGTCTATTGTAAATATTCACATTACACCCTCTGCTACGCTGGAAATTACTTTCTTTGTTGGGGTTTATGAAAGAAGTCTGTCCATGTTTGAGTGTATTCTTTTTGGCAAAAGAACAAGAATAAAAGAATCATCTATATTTAGCATTTCAATCTCCTTCACGGCTTTCTCGTAGAGAGCCAGAGCCATCAATTATGGCCAGGGGTCCAGGTCCTGACCTTAGCCATCTAAGGTGGTACGCTTAGACGACAGCTCAGTGGCAAAAACAGCAATGAGGCTTGAGCCCGGTGGCCAGCAACCGCGTTGCTGACATGAAGATCATCAATGTCGCCCCAGAAGACGCCTTCGATCGTGCCAAATGGAGACGGATTTTTCGCAAAGCTGACCCTGCCACATGGGACAAACGCCAGGAAGAAGAAGGTCCAGGTCCTGAAGCAACAAGCAGCCCTGTTTGAAAAAGCAATCCCATTTACATTTACCAATAAAACAAAGGTGTATGTGTGTCTGTGTTGAAGATGTTAAGATGCTAACTTTTTCATTGAAAGTAACCAGGATGGACACACAACATGTCACACAAAATGGAGAAGGATGCTTGGGATAGACTGAGATAAAGGCAGAAGACGCACTGTGGCAACCCCTAAAGGGAGCAGCAGAAAGATAGCGACTCTCCTCAATGGTTAGTACATTTCTATCTTGATCCTTAATCACTCTACTCTCTTGCAAGTCCAGGCTCTGCTCGTCTTTCTGTAAAAGTCACCTCTCTTTTTTTTGTTGTAATCCTAGCCTCTCAGGACCCCTGTCCACTTTCTTCATCTCTCTGACTATCCTACTTCAGCCGTACATCTGCAGTCATCTAGTAGTTCTATCTCACCTCCTTTCTGAACTCTCTGCAACATCCTTCTTTCTTCAATGTTCACCATTTAATCTTTGACTCTGCCTTAACTTGTTTTCTCTTCTTAATGACTAAATTCATCCTACATACTACCACCTGATGCTGCCTTGTCACATTCTCCCCAGAGGAAAAATGTGACTTCGATTTTTGCCTAGCTTTCTTCTCAGGAGAGAAGGAAGCCAGGCAGCACATTCTCAGCTCACCTGTGTGCACAGAATAGTTCACCTGTGTGCACCTTCCTCCACTCTTATATGTATTTTTGTCCTTCTACACTTTACCTACGCAACACCTTCTCATCACCTCTGTTCCCTTCAGGTACATGTCCTCTGAAGTCTTCTCCAACCACCAGTCTCTCACCCCCGAGAACTCACCATCCAATTCCAAATGTAGGATATATAAATGGTCAGTTATGATTATAATTACTACTAATATAATTGCAATATACGGTATTTCCTATTTTTAACGGAACATGTTTCAAAGAAGGGGTCGCTCAGGTGCTGCAGATTTTGAGAGCCATATTATCTGAGCTAAAGGAGTCCATCCCCAGGTTGTATATTACTCACATTTTAGGCTTTTGCTTCAGGGATCAAGTGTGAGTCACTGAGCTTAGGTTTCCAGATACTTTTCCAATTCTTTTGTACATCTGGACACACAGTAGGTGCTTACCAGTTGTGACAGCCCCTGTTCCCATGTTTTACACATACTGTTTTTATGGTGTCCCAACTGAGATGTTTATTCCCCATGAGGAAGAAGAAGCTGGTGTTTTCTTATTTATGTTACTTTTCTGTGTGCCAATCTCAATTGGCTAATTAGTTAGTTAGTTAGTTTTTTTTTTGGTCACTCACTTCTTCTGCATTTGCAAATGCAAGAGTGACTCTTATGTAGAGCTGCACCACAGCAGTTTTACAGAGCTTTTTTGAATGGTTCTACCAGAAAAACTTAATGATCAGGGCCCAATTATTTTGATCAAATTTGAGATCACAGTCATTTATCACGATTATGCATTGAGTTAAATGCTCCCCGAGTTTGTCCTCGAATTCTAGAATACCCTGGTTTTTCAAAGCATTTTAACAATGCATCAGGATCTGCTTCCATCGACAAGGCCTTCACCTTCTGCTCTGCCAGACATTTAAACTGTTTTGAAGGTCCGTTTTTGAAGAGTATTTGAGAAACTTCATTCTGCTTGGTGCAGGGAACAGCTGTGATGGGAGGCAGATCGTCAGGCGATGAATTAGAAATTCCCTGATCTGGTTTTGCTTTGTGATCTACTTTTGGAGCATGCATTTTGATATTGTTCAACACCTCCAGGGATAAGCAGACTAACCAGGCAGCCCCCCACAGCACTTGAAATCTCACACAAGGTAGCCTCAAGTAGACATAAGAGGAAATGCAGTTTGTGGCACTTCATTGTTGAATAACATATTAGCCAGCAGAGATAATTTCTGTATAAATGTTTTTACAATTAATTTCATAAATTAAATGTATTTAAAAACTGACAATACACCCTAGTTAACATGAGCATTTGGGTCTATTGTATTTATCATGAACAAAATATTGATCTCATTCAAGTTAAAATACTTGTTTGCATTGGAGTAACAAAAGAACTCAATGGACTTCGGGGACTCCGTACAACTAGGATTACGTGGTTAGGGGTTTTTTTTTTTGGTTTTTTTTTTTACGTGAACAACAGAATCTGGCAACTCGGTGGGAGGCGACATCGGCAAGAGCTCTATCGGTTTCTTCTCTGACAGCCAGCGTGGAAAGATGGTGCTCGACTTGGACCTGTTTCGAACCGACAAAGGCGGCGACCCCGAAGTCGTCCGTGAGACTCAAAGAAAGAGGTTTAAAGATGTTACCCTGGTTGACAAGCTGGTGGCCGCAGACACAGAGTGGAGAAAATGTAAGTCACTCTGCCGCTAACGTCAACGCGGTGGCTAACGATGCTAATGTTAGCGTAGCCGTCAATGCATCTTATAATGGAGAAGAGTTCACGCCAGACTCCATTTAACAAAATGTCTTTTTTAAACTGTTACAGTTTAATTGTGGTTAACTGTTTGATCCGAAATGGGACCGAACAAGGTTTTTGACTTATTCAGGGTCCACCTGTTTATTCGGCTCATTGTAATACTAAATATAAAATCTTCAGAATAAATTTAGGGAATACTTTTGGTTGTTAGCTTCACTGTGTTGCTGCGCAAGCTAAAAGCTCACTGCACTGCAGTGGTCTGATCTCACTTATGAAAGTCAGTAATTTAAATGGTAAACGTGCTGGTTGGTGTGTTATATTTGCGCCGTATTGATTAGTGGATAGATGTTGTACACTGTTTCTTAAGCAATTCATTGACGTTTGTCTGTCATTTTATTTAGTATAACCAGATGTGAATAGCACGCTAATCTTAGCGCAGCTAGCATAATTCAGCAAATCTAGAAAAGCCATTGTGGTTGTTATTTAATAAGTACCTAGTTATTTAAGACCAAACTTTCACAAGACGAGTCACTAGTTAACCTCCTGTTCCCATTATTCCGTTGACTTAGCTTAATGGGAAACGCTGGCTAACGCCGGGTTAGCTAAACGATGCCGGGTAGTCAATCTGATGCAATCCCAGCCAGCAACATGTCAGGTCAACCTCGCCCTGTAGTGTGACTACTGAGATAGTCAACATGATCCAGTTTTAATAATTTCTTCTGTACATTATTACAGGTATGAAAGTTGCCAAGATAGTGTTATGTTTATATTATTATTTTGGGCTGTTTAATACTTAGTTACTGTAAATCATGTCACCAGGTTATTAGACCAGCTGCTGTGGCACACACACAATCTCATAATGCACTGAGTCACTGATTTTACCCCCTGACAGGCCGCTTCACTGCAGACAACCTGAACAAAGCAAAGAACCTTTGCAGCAAAAGCATCGGGGAAAAAATGAAGGTATTTCAACATAACACTAAATGGGGACTGTTGAGCATTGTATTTGTTTTCCAGTCCCTTCAGAAATAAACAAGGTTTAGCGTTGTCTGTCTTTAACCCTCTGCTTTGTTGCTCATGCAGAAGAAGGAACCAGTTGGAGAGGATGAGGCTGTTCCTGAAGAAGCGCAGAACCTGGAGTCTCTTACGGCTGAAGTTCTGTCGGTATGACTGACTGCACTCTTTTCTGTCTACACGGCATAACTGTTTGTAAGCTGGCAAACAGATCTAACAAGCTTGTTTGCATTTTTTTGTCCTGTGCCAGGCCCTGACAGTAACCCAGATTAAAAAGGTGCGTTTGTTGGTGGATGAAGCGATAGAGAAGATGGACAGTGAGAGAGTAAAGCTGGAGGCGGAACGTTTCGAGTACCTGAGAGAGATCGGCAACCTTTTGCACCCCTCTGTACCCATCAGCAATGATGAGGTGTGTGGTTTGGTTTGAGGGGGGGTTAATACTAGAGCCCAACATTGATCTTGAATGTCTGAAAAGAAGACCGCTAGACTTTTTTTTTTTTTGGTTTGGGCATCAATCGTACTACATGGTCTTTTACATGGTCAGTGCTAGAAGCAGCTTTTTCTTTGTAAATAACATCCACATGTCTGTAATGAATGTGGTTATTGATTTATCATCCATTAAATGGACACAGCCCACGCACAGATCAAAACACCATCATATCATGATGATTTTTCTGTCCTAATTTTCTGCCTTGTTCATTTACCACATCCATAGCAAGGGAAATAGAGCCACCATGAGGGGTCCTGTAAGCCAGCAGTGAGCTGGTGTTGTACACTGAAAAGTTGCAGGCAGGGGAAGAACAGTATAATCATTTATTTAGCTAACCCTTCCTGTTATCAGCTGCACCTTCTAATGCTGATCACCCATAAAGTGAAAAGTAAAACTCGATGACACAAGACTGGATCACCAGCAAATAGCAGGGTGTCTCGCTGTCAAGTCCTGATAATTTATTTAATGTATTGTGCTGTGGGGAGTATTTGCTGGCTTAATCTGGGTCCACGTCACCCAAAAGTGAAAGGTCACTCACCATTCGTGTGAAAGTTATTCATATGCTATAGTCTTCCCAGATAAACAGTGCTCTCCTCACAAACAACATAAAAACACTGATATAATTCCATTAGTTTTTCAGAGTTCCAGAGGTTTGGAGAGTGTGGCTTTCAGGCAATTCTGGCAGCATAATACAGCTTTAACACCTCATTAAAACCTTCAAATAAACTTTGAGCTTTTTGTGAATCTGAAAATAAAAACACATGTTTTCCTTATTAGTAATTCACAGAATCTGGTAGTATAATAAATGTCTTGTCAGTTCAAGATTTTCTGATCATACAATCAAATTGTTTATTGTTTGCTGTCAGGATGCAGACAATAAGGTGGAGCGTACCTGGGGTGACTGCACTGCCCAGAAGAAGTACTCCCATGTTGACCTGGTGGTCATGATCGATGGTTTTGATGGCGAGAGGGGAGCAGTTGTAGCTGGCAGCAGAGGTTATTTTCTCAAGGTACGTTTTCATATGAAGAAAAGTAAGTAGAGAAACAAAGTAACACATAGTAGCATGACCAGGTTTCCCTTTCCTCTTCCTTTCCTTTACTGACCAGCTGTTTATCTCCTCTCTGCTGTGTTCAGGGTCCCCTGGTGTTCCTGGAGCAGGCTCTGATCAATTTTGCCTTAAGGATCCTCTACAGCAAGAACTACACCATGCTGTACACACCTTTCTTCATGAGGAAGGAGGTCATGCAGGAAGTCGCCCAGCTCAGCCAGTTTGATGAAGAGCTTTACAAGGTATGGAGACTGTCTCTGAATTGGAGCATGCAGTATACTTGTTCCAAAGTGGTAAAAATATAAAACCTGTGCATTAGAGATGCAGCAGTTGCATTTTTGTAGATATTGTGTGAATAGTTCTCGTTATTAGATTTACAATCCCAACCGTGTCAAACTGGTATCCTGATGATGATGACAGTGAGTTGAGTGGACTTGGGCAGCCTGCCTGCTCTGAATCCAGTAGAAGATAATTGGAGTGTGGCAGAAAAGAAGATTGGCAACCAACAAATATGTCTATACATGGATTTAGGTTCCCTCTTCAACCTCTCTACGTGTTTCTGTCAGGTCATCGGAAAGGGAAGTGAGAAATCAGATGACAGTTCCATAGATGAGAAATACCTCATCGCCACCTCAGAGCAGCCCATCGCTGCCTTCTTGAGGGAAGAATGGCTCAAACCAGAGGACCTGCCCATCCGCTACGCCGGCTTCTCCACCTGCTTCAGACAGGAAGTGGGTTCCCATGGCCGAGACACCCGTGGGATCTTCAGAGTGCACCAGTTTGAGAAGGTCAGTTTTGTTGAAATTGTGATATTTTTTTGTATAATTACATTTTTAAATTTTTTTTATTCAAAAACAATATGTCAGATTAACACTAATATAGTTTCAAAACCATTAATAACAAAAGTACTTTTTGCTTTTACTTTTAAACATTGTTTCTTCTACATCTGCTTGTAGATTGAGCAGTTTGTCTATGCCTCACCGCATGACGGCAAATCATGGGAGATGTTTGATGAGATGATAGGAACAGCAGAAGAGTTCTACCAGTCACTAGGAATTCCTTATCGTATCGTCAACATTGTCTCTGGTAGGTCAAATACACGCACTCTCACTCCTCATACCACACTGAGCATTTTTAGTTGCTGGACACACACAGACAACACAATACAAGGAATAAATATTTAATTCAGGTCTTTTTATTTTTTAGGGATATTTTTCCTTCTCCATCATTTACTCAGATCTTATATTTTGTAGATGGTCTCACATTGTGAATATCACAGAATCACTGTATTGCAGTACAGTAATATTATACCCTGAGACTACAGCTAACCATACCACAATTGAAAGTGAAAACTTTAAATATATTATAAATATTACATATCCAAGTGTTTTGGTAGGAAGGAAGAAACACAACTACATATTACAGATTTCTTATATCCACACACACACACATTCAGTCTCACCCTAAAGTGAGACGGAATAAATATCAGACGTGAATGTGGCCCATTCTTGAAGGTACAGCATCAAGTCTGTTTGTGTTGGAAACTAAAAGAAATCCAACACAAACAGACAGTTTGTTTTGTTGTTTTTAAATTGTGCATGAAGAAGAAAAGAGAGATACATGGACTGACCTTCACCAAACCAATCATCATGCATGTTTGTACATAAATACCATCCCCCAGTTGGACAGTCATTCATGACTTGAACTATCCACTTCAGTAATTACTTTCAGCACAGTGGACAGACATTGAAAAATGAATGATTGTTTTGCACATGTAGGCCTACAAAATCTAGAACGCATTACAAACAGGATAAATGTGTTCATCATTTAGTCAATATTTAGATTTTTACACTATCTGAACTATCAGTCCAGTATAACTCTGTATAACATCCACTAGGGGTGAATTGTTTGAAGCAGCATGAACAGAGTTGAGTTAAACATGCACAGCAGACAGTTGAAGATGACACAACCAGGCTGCGTCTGGGTCACCTGCACTTGTATGTGGAAAAATGAAGACAGTATGAAAATGCTTCATGAATTTCTTTGTGGTTTATCTGATGGAACTGAAACATTACAAACTGAATTCCTTCTGTAGATAAATTAGATAAACGTAATATCCAGCACTACCTGCTAGGCATTCACCTAACTGTGCTTCAAACAAGCAGAAAGAGTTTTAGATGATTTCTTTATAACTCAACCATGACATAAACCAGGGCTGCCCAATCCCAGTCCTCGAGAGCTACTATCCTGCAGCTTTTAGATGCATCCCTACTCCAACACAGCTGAATCAAATGGTTTGATTACCTCTTCAGCATGCCATCGTGCTTGGCAAAGGCCTGATAACAAGCCATTCATTTGATTCGGGTGTGTGGGAACAAGGATGCATCTAAAAGCTGCAGGACGGTAGCTCTCGAGGACCGGGATTGGGCACCCCTGACATAAACTAACTGCTCTCTCCTTCATGTGTACTGTAGGTGCCCTGAACCATGCAGCCAGTAAGAAGCTGGATCTGGAGGCCTGGTTCCCCGGCTCAGGGGCTTTCAGAGAGCTGGTCTCCTGCTCAAACTGCACAGACTACCAGGCCAGGCGGCTGCGCATCCGCTACGGACAGACCAAAAAAATGATGGACAAGGTGAGTGCTCAGTTCCAACACAGCGTACAAGAACTAATGCAGTTTGTGTGTCTTGTCTGCTATTTCGTAAGGTATCAAAGATAAAGCGAATTACTGGGAAGCAGAAAAATCTTAACTTGCTTCCCCCGTGCACATGCGTTTCACTTTTCTGTAGCCACACTCTAAATTCATATCTCTCGTTGTCTTTGTGTTTTGTAGGCGGAGTTTGTGCACATGTTGAATGCAACCATGTGCGCCACCACACGTGTAATGTGTGCCATCCTAGAGAACTACCAAACTGAAGAAGGAATCATTGTTCCAGAGAAGCTCAGGGAGTTCATGCCTCCTGGTAAGCTGTGCTGGCTTTCTTACCTGTTTACTGCACCTAGAGACTTTTGATGTTAATGCACACTATCATCCCAACTGCGTTTGTCTCCATATAATGGAACAAATTTCAAATGCTTTGCAGCTTTCTTAGAGGAAAAAAAATTGACATTTTTGGAAGTGCTGTCCTGCTGAGAGGTACATGTTAACATCCATATCCGTCAATCGTATGTGTATCCAACACTTGAAGCTGATCACAGGGACTGACTGCTACCCTGCCTCTGTCCCAATTTAAACTAAGATGACTCCTAACATCTCTACATATCATATTTGACACAGTGTCATGACAGTGATTGTTTATATTAGAGATGGTTAGTTTAAAGGCTCAAGGCTTCCCCCTGCTGGCCATTTAAAAAAAATTCAAGTTTAAGAAACGTGACCACAGACTTCACTTCTCATACCCAGAAGCTGCATCCATGCTTTATATATTTATTATTATTATTTATATTATTTACTTTATATGTAGTCTGTGCTCCATTAACATTCTTGTTCAGTGACTGTCAGCAAACAGCTTGCAGGAGCGTAGCTGTCACCCTCTGGTGCATTCTACCAGATGGTTTGAAAAACAAGGGAAAATATGTTTTTAAGACAAGAAATGTAAAATATTGGATATATTAAATGTTTGTTTTTGTTGTTTTTCCCATCTTCAGGTTTGACAGAGATCATTAAGTTTGTCAAGCCAGCTCCCATTGATCAGGAAATGTCCAAGAAATCAAAGAAACAGCAGGAAGGAGGGAAGAAGAAGAAGCAGGGAGGAGGTGGCGGAGACCAGAACCTGCCCGATGCCATAGAGAACATGTCCGTGAACGATTCGTAGACCCCGGCACACAGCAGCAGTGTCGCCTCACCAGCCTCACAGATGCACACTAATAGAACAGACTGTTGCTTGAATTGTAATGATCAGGGATTAGTTTGTCACGCCTCACAAACTAAACCTGAAATTGGCACTTAACGGTAATGTGAATGCTCTGCTCTGTTCCATCTGTGTCCGTCTGAGTGGGTGGTGTTATGTCATCTCATCATTCACATAAAGCTTGCCACAAAAAGGGATCCTTTAGTCAGCCATCCCCAGGTCACTTCACCCCTCTATCACTGTATGACATCACGAACACGAAGCCTAAAGCACAGCTGCCGACACCTCATGGAGCGTGTCGGCAGCTGTGCTGAGTCAGGCTTCTTTTCTGTCAATTTCTGTCATTGATTTGATACAAGCAGTCTTTTGGGAATATGTTATAAAAAGTATGTTTGCAGGATGTTGGGCATTGTTGATAATGTGCTCAAAAACTGTCTGAACTCACCGTTTGTTGACTGTGAGAAGTAAATGGTTGGGTATTTTAACTGTCTGGTTTAGGCTTCTCTTTGCGTTGTCTGACCACAATCATCATTTTCATCCACTGTTTAACACGATGCTCTTCTCCACCTCGAGACGTTGATGTTTCCTGTATGTACTTGCTAAGACAAATATATATATATAATTGCGCATTGATGAAGTGGCACGCACTGTAAACAATAAATACAGTTGAACTGGAAGTTCTTGTGTTTGTTTGTTTGTTTTTAAGTATATGCACAAAGCAGACTAGATCAGTGGTGATGGTAATGTGACTAACCACACAGCAAGCCAGGCTGTTTATTAACCAATTACATTCAAAATGCTTTAATAGGCACCCAGTTCACAAAGTGGAGAGATCTGGTTTAGGAAGGCAAATTAGATGGTAGCAGTTGTTTGCCTGTATATATGTGTGTCCAAGCAGCCGTGCCCCTAATGACTTCAAGCCTGACTGCATTAAAGTTATCAAAGCATCTGAATGTGGTGTAATGAGCCGTGACCGCAGTAAAGAAGGCTAAATCAAATCTCTAGTTAAGGTGTCAATATGAGATCACCAGTAACCGTATGAAAACAAATTCTGAGCTTTTTCTAACACAAACTTCAGTATTCTATAATATTATGGCTGTAAATAGATATGTTAAAGATGCTCTCAGTGTCAAAAGGTTCAGGGTTTTCCTTTAACTTGTCACCGGTCTGGATTTTCTAATACTGCAGAGGTGTTAGGGTGTGTACTACCACATGCCACATCCCCAGTTTCACTCTCAGCCAGCGGCACCTTTGTTACCTGTGTTTACTCGTTTACTGTCTGTTTCTACAGCAACTATTCAATTACATCCCAAAAATAAAATATCTTAAAGAAAAAGCTTAGCTAAGCAAAGAGAAGAGTCAGTCTACCTCTACTTTAGAACAGTCCACACACATGTATGTATTTATATTTATCATTTAATTATTTTTGTCCTGATCTTCGTGTCACGAAAGAGCTTTTAAACACAATAAAACATCTTGCTTAGATGTCTGGCTGGCTGGTTATCAGATAGATGTGCAATAAGCAATAAGGAAGACAAATCAGTTATTCATTAACTCTGACAGACTTTACACTCCCTGCAGTTGGAAGCCAATTCACTCCGTTTGCGGTATATTTACAAAAGGTAAGAAGAAATCTCCAGCACTTCTTTTCTTTATATAGTTGATTAGATCATTTGTATAATATATATTTATTTAAACCTAATTTATGTCTGTCTTTGACAGATCCAGGCTTTAGTTTGGTACGAGTGTTGAGATGAATGACGTGGAAGACGACGTTGAGATCTCCTTTCCAGTAAAGGTAAATGCTGCTCTTTAACAGCCACAGTTTTGTTGCAGAGTGTTGAAAAATATTCTCAGCTCTGAGATTACTTATTTTTTATTCAACTTTATTTGTATACTTGATAGGTAGCAACCAAATATATATATATATATATATAAAAAAACATACTGTGTAAAGTAAAATGCTAAGTAAAGTCCTTATTATTACTATTATTAAAAACAAAAACAACACTTTCCACTTGTTTCTGTAAACTGTAGTTTCTCGGTCGAGTAGAGGTGGTCCGCCCCGATGGAATACAGATCCTGGAAGAAGCCGCTCAGAACCTCAAGGTGAGCCACCGACATATTTAATACATTTACAATGTTATTTTTAGTCGTGCTGGTGTCATAGATCATGCATTCATGTAGTCAGCGACCATCCGGTCCACACTGACAACATGAAGTGTTGAAAAGAGCGCCCAACACCTCTGCCACGCCACATATGAGAAACTGTTATTGAAATCATTCACACTGCTCTGTGGATGTTTTACACAACTTTGAGATCATTTTTCACAACTTTGTAGTTGTTTTGTGTCTTTGTGGCTATTGTTGTCGCTTTTAAGTTGTTTAGTGCTTTGTTGTACGTTTTCATTGTTTGTAGTTGTTTTTCAGCACTTTGTATTTGTTTTGTGGCACTCTGTAGTCATTTTGCGTCTCTTTGTGGTTATTCTTCCGTGTGTGGTTGGTTTGTACCCCTTTGATGTCGCATTTTAGCCTTTTTATGGTTGCTGTGTATTTATTTGTAGTGCCCCGTGCCTCTTTGTTGCTTTGCGTCTCTGTGATTATTTTGTGTGAGTGGTTGTCTTGTTCCTCTTTGTACTTGTTTTGCTCACTTTTATGATTTGTTCTCTGTGTTTGTGGTTGTTTTGTATCCCTATTTTGTTATGTCCTGTCTCTTTATACTCATATCAAGTCTCATAAACCCTTTTACTGCTCATAATAATAGAGCAGCGTCAATGTATCCAGTGCATTGACTCATGACCAAATATGTAAATACCACCAGCCTCTGCTCCACCTAATTGGGCAGCTGGTAAGTGTTAGCTTGCAAACATGCATATATTGGTTTAATTATGCTTGAGCTATTAGAGCCACCGCTTCAGCTCCTACAGGGCTGCTAACATGGCTGCAGACTCTCATTATTGTCTATAATGTACCCCTTTAAAATAGTCTTGTATTCTAGTAGGGAAAGGCCAACTTTGTGTGCATCTGCAGGATTATTTATACTGTTTAAATGAAACAATTTTGTGTGTTTTTGTCATTCCTAGACTTCAGATGAATTCTCCTCTGAGAAAGCTGCAAAGAAGAGCAAAGTCCATCTGTTCCTGTCTCTGAGTGGGATAGACATTTTGGAAAACAAAACCAAGGTGTGTGACAAAAGTGTCCTAATTACAAAACTGCTCATTCTCATGATGTATTCAGCTTTCATGATGTTTTAAAATGTTAATTCTCATCATCTTCCCTTCCCTCAGTTCCTATTGTACTCGTGCAACCTCTCTACTATTTCCTTCTGTGCTGTCCATCCTTCTTCACCCAAAGTTTTTGGGTTTGTGGCCAAGCACCCTGCAGCGGACACGTACCACTGTTATCTGTTTCAGAGCGCAAAGTTTGTGAGTATTCCCAAGGCTGAAACTAAAGACCAACTTTGAAGTCTGCTGTTGGTAGAGCAGAAGACTACAAATCCACAGCTGAATGACATATTCTGGCTTCTAGTGTCCCAGATGTGATTTTTTCTGAATTACTTTTTAGTCTCACGTGCTGGTCTCAGTTATTGGGGACGCCTTTCGGGTTTCAAAGAAGGAGGAGACACACAGAGTAGGACGAGACATAAAAGTGGAGGCACTCCAACATAAGGTCAGTCCTGAGTTGTCATGGCTGTTTTTTTTTCTATTTCTGTCAAAGAACTTACAGAGCTTATGAAATTAAATATTTCCAATGTTCACGAAAGCTTTAAATGAGTCTCTCAATCTTTTTAATGCTTCTTTTTCAGAATAAAATGCTGCAAAGAGAGAATGATAAGCTGAAGAGGAGGCTTGCAGGAGAAACTGATGACTGATGATTGCATACAATGTTGCTGTTGTGGGTACATATAAGTACACAACGAGCGTGAGAGACTGCTTCCTATTAAATTTTACATGATGCTGAAATGTCTGTAATTTTCTTTTCTTTTTTTTCTTATTCAGCGTAGAATCCATTTTAGCTGCTTTACCCAAATCCTTTCTACTAGATGGCAGCAGCGAGTTGTCATTCTCACTGTTGGCAAGTCTCTGGATGCGTTCAAATGTTTTAAAAACATAATAAATATTGCACTTAATTGTTTCACTTACAGTTAAAAATAAAAAACAAGCAAACAAATGCTTTAACATCACTCAGAACACTTTGAGATGTTTGATGAAGTCTGTAATTTTAAAGAGCTGCCTTGTAAGAAATAAAAATGTGTTTCATTTAAACGGCCATTTGTAGTGTAGATGTTTCAAACTGTGCTGTGTGTCAATAATAGATTAAGTTCAATTTTCCAAAATAATTTATGGCTAAATGTCATAATGCTTGACTTGTAAAACACGACATAACTGAATTGAAAATTGAATATTCGTTTCGTTACCATTGGTAGCAGTAGCATTTGTTATGCATTTGCTGTGTATTGGATCGGACACTTAGGTTACGTGAAGGCAACAATATGTAAACTTTATTGAGAAAGTAACAGGGAGCGGCGGGAGTCCGAGGCTGTTTTGTTGGAAGATGTGACTTTATGCTAACGACAGCTAGTTTTGTCTAAAGGGTATTTAAAGTTTACTCAGTCATGCTTACGGACGTCTCCCATAACTCACCACAGGTGCTAACCGAGAAATTGTGCGTTAGCAGATTAGCTAGCCGAGAGACGTCACTCTGAGACACGGCGTAAACTTTGCGCGTTCAGCGACATTTGGTGTGTTTTCGTTTACCGAACACAATTATCTGTAAATCACTGAGTCTTCACTTTTCTGGGGGGGCTCCTTATTATCCACCTCCGAACGGGAGACTCTGGCTCTGCTGTCTTTACCACCCACAAACACCCGCCATGGGGACGCGGTGGTCTCGTAGCGGCAGCAGCCAGTCTCTCCTCCCGGAGGAGCAGAGGGTAACGCGGTACACTGAACGCAGAGACTCCGATAACGACTCTTTGGATGGACTAGTCCGGCGGGAGGACATAGCCCAGTTCCCGTACGTGGAGTTCACCGGCAGAGACAGCGTAACTTGTCCGACCTGCCAAGGCACTGGACGCATACCTTCAGGTGAGTAGAAAGAGTTGATAAATCAGTAAGCGTTAGTGTCGGACAGTCAGTCTGTGTTGATATGAGGACAGTTTCTGCTCATTTAACGCCAGAGATGAGGCGCAGAATTCCTAAAAGGTGTTTTCAAGTGTTTGGCACGGAAAAAAACACGGTCAACATTTTAAGTGTCGTAAAAGGCTTGTTGGTCTCTACTCTGTGACGTTTAAATGTCCTAAAGTTTGACCAAGAAGGACTGGATTGTTTATAATGTAGGTACAGTAAAGCAGAGCCATAAAGATAAAACAAATAATTTCTTTATTTTACTTGTAACCCCTTCATAAATCCTGTTGACTACAGTCTAGTTACTAATATAAGAAAATATATTAGACAAAAAAGACGCGGATATCAGCCAGCATGGTCAGTGTTGGCTCATACTGACATTTAGCTAAAGTTGTGCTGGTAATTCTGAACGAGACACATTGAGTTTGTTTTGCAAGGTTTTGAAGCTCTGTGAACAAATGGAAAAATCAAGAAATTACTAGATTGTCCAGAAAACTGATCTGCACTTATCCACTAAGAAAACACTTAAAGTAATGTTTTTAATGGAGTTTATGACCCACCGTGCATAACGCAGAACTTTGACCTCACACGAGGCCATGTGACACCAGCAATAAGAAACGTGGGCGCAAACACTAGTTTAGAAGATGCTGAAAATGTACATTCGTACAGATATGAAGGGGCACAGCTGTACAATTATGAGCCTGTCAGACATCAGAGAGGCCAGGGGGTGATGTCGGCATTTAAGTGCCATTTATTGAGTTTTTGTTTTCTCTCACCATCCCTGATCCTCCCGTATGGAAAAACTGCTCTAGAAGGTGAAAGTGAAAGAGCTGCATGTACAGAAACAACCGCATGAGTTGTTGTAATCACACATTCCTGACTTCTAAATTCCAAATCTGGAATATCTTCAGAAGCATAATCACCTTGTCCATCACAGAGGCAGGAGTCCCATTGTTTGCTTGGCTAATGTCTGAGGATGATGGTCTATGAGATGTACCTCATACATCTGGTACTTTTTTGTCCATAGTACTCCCAGAGCAGATTAATGTAAGTAATGACATATAGCTATGTGTGGTTCTCTGTGCTCAACATAAAATAACTTGGTACTATGCTGTATGTTTTATACAATTTTGTGTCTCACCTAAGAAAATGTGTTAGAGTAATGATTAGATTCATGAAGAGCTGCACCAGTGAATCTGTTAAACAGAAGCTATTATTTTAAGTTGGGGGTTCGTTTGCTTAGCTGTAAAAGGCTGACGGGGTATTGTCATCACCCTGCCAAGTGGGCGGGCAGGCAGGATGTATGGACAAGTTTGTGAATGCAATAACGCACAAATGAGGGGAAGTAGGAGCTTCAAATTCAAATACCATTTGTGTTTCTACTAAGATGTTAGATGAGTTTGAATCTCAGTGACCTCAACATTAGGGTCAGAGTAAGTTTTCTGTATGTAAACAAGGTGACACAGGATCTTGAACTTGATACCACAGGTGTGTTACCTGGGAGGCGGAGGGGTAGCACTTTTAGCTGATGTCCTGTGTTTAATTTCTCCGTCTTTGTCGTGTTTCCAAAAAAACAGTTTTAATGGGAAATGCTAAACATAATTTTTCTTCTTGCTCTGCAGAACAAGTGAATGAACTGGTTGCACTGATCCCGTACAATGACCAAAGACTGCAACCCCAAAGAACGTGAGTAACTGCAGCACACTGATGTGTTCCTGTGTCTGTTCCCTCTGGACGTGTGGGTCTCTCACTCTGTCTGAGGTGATGTAGGAGGTGAGTGCCTTGTCTGGAGAGAACCTTCCCTCTCTGTGTCGTAGGAAGCTCTACGTGGTCCTGTCAATTGTGCTCTGCCTGCTGGCCTCTTCGCTTGTTGCTTTCTTCCTTTTCCCACGTCCAGTGGTTGTGGTGGACGGAGGGATCCGCTCGGTGACGGTGACGTTCGACCGCAACAACACAAAGGTCCTGATGAACATGACGGTAGGTTTCATATCACAGCTTCTAATAATCTACACAAACAGCATGACAAAGCATAACTCTCAGCCTCTGCAGGCTCAGGTCTCACTTCACTAAGAACTCCTCTGTGGGATCAGCACCGATGTGTTTCCATACAAATGTGTCTGAAGTGACTAATGAGTGGAAGGACGGGTTTGGAAGCTACCAACAATCTTCAGCTTCTGTTTATTCAAAAGTAACGCTCTTCTTTATCACATGTGGTCAGTGGGTAAATACTTAGACAGTTTCATTATTTCAGTTCAACTTTGGGAAAGTACAGCCAGTTAAGCAACACAACGACCACAGTGAATTTGAAATGCTAATAGCGTGATTCAAGTGTTGAGTCTTGGCTTGAATTCAGCTGCTACAACTAAAACATCACATTAACACCTTAGGAGTCATTTTTTGTCTGTTTTCACTTCCTCAGCATTAACCACACAAATGAGTCTGGCAGTTTCATGGCTAGAAGAGCCCTGCTTTCTTATTATTCCACAACAAGTTAATGTAAACAGTGCTCAGGAGATGAATCCGAGTGTTGAATTAGCATTTGTTTGCTGTTCAGAGCCTGATATCTCGCAGTCTGAAGTCCAAGGAGGTGTGGCAGGAAATGATGACGCTGATAGAAAACAGACTGTATCAGGAAGATGACAGATGTTCTTTTAAAAAGCAAACAAAACACAATGAAGTGGTGAAATTTATTATGTTACCCTGCCTGGTTGCTTTAGAGTCTGTGGAAATAGAGGAATTGTCTAACAAGCACTTGGTACTTTGATTGCATGTTGATCGGAGCCTTTCAGATTCACTGTGGTGCTGTACAGAGGCAAAGCTTGAATAAGTGTCCAAAAACATCTGGACATTTATCTTTTGTAAATATAGACACACAAACAAGATTTAAAAAAAAACAAAAACTCCCCAAAAAACCCAAAACTGTAACAAAAAACATCAAACGTCACAGATGACAGCTAAACACAGTGCATTGTTGTGCTTTTGCTGGTGGTTATGGGCAACCTGACTGCTCTGCAGCTGTTCAGCCTCATTCACAACAAACTGTGATGAACCTTATATTTTCACAACTTTTCTTTCAGAACAAACAGTAACTTATGTTTTGTTTTTTTTTTGGAAATTTAAGCTACAGTAGCTCATCTGTTGGGTCAGACCACAAAGACCAGCCATGGATCTGTGCCCATGATTCCTGGTTCTCTATTGTTTCCTCCCTTGAACCACTTTTGATAGATACTGACCGCTGCAGACCCAGAACAGCTCACAAGAGCTGCTTTTGTTTTGGGGATGCTCTGACCGGGTCATCTAGCGATCACAGCTTGATCCCTGTTAAACTCACTCAAATCCTTACACTTGTCATTTTTCCTGCTTCTAACTCATCAACTTTGAGGACAAAATGTTCACTTGCTCCCTAATATATCACACCCACTAACAGGTGCCACGATGAAGAGATAATCAGTGCTATTCACTCCACCTGAGAGTGGTCATAATATTATACCTGATCAGTATACACATTTGCTTTCCTTGTTTTTGACAGAAGAGCAAATCCTGCGCTCTTGAATACATACGAGATCTTAGAATGAATGGTTGAGGTTAATTCAGAGTCCTACTTTGCTATGTGACTATTTTCATGTAAAAGTTGAGCGTGTGAATGACAAAATGTTGTCTCCCTCATCACGATAGTGGTTCTAAACCATCTGAGGATGTGAAACAATCGTCAGGTTTCATTTAAGCTGTGCACTGTGTAAGAGCTGCTTCACTAGTCTAGTTCAGATCTGCACTTTAGTGCACTGAAGCACTCTGCAGGCCACGCTTCCTTTATGAAACCGCAAAACGTGGCAACAGCGTTGACATTTTTTAGGATTTAGTTTAGAAAACATGTTGATGTTGCTGCTTTTGCCACTTTCTGCTTGTGTAGTAAATGGATGTTGATGATGATAATAATAATAATAATAATAATAATAATAATAGCTTCTGCCATCTGAGTGTCTTTTGATGAAACTTAACTAGAAGTGTCAAAAACAGGCTGTGTTGTAGGTGCTGTCTTTTTATTCCTCTGTGTGTCTTTTGTTCTTTATTTTACTCAGAGCACGCTCAACTTCAGCAACCCCAACTTCTTCTCGGTGCATGTGCAGAGCATCAGCTCCCAGGTCCTCTACATGAAGTCGGTGATCGGGACTGAGCTGCTATACAACGTCACCACAGTGCTGCCACTCAGCGCGTGTCAGGTACAGGATTTCAGCCACTCAAAGTCCAATCAATCAAGATGCTTGTCTCCTTTGCTGTTTTACACTATTTTAATGTTTCCACTCCATCGATGCCGATACATTATCACTACTGCTGTCAGTGTTCCTTTCCATATAAGCCATATCACTGTTATGGCTATTTTTAAGCAATTTGCAAGCTCCCCTATTAGTGTTGTTGGTTTTTTGTGTGGGTGTGTGGCAGCTGGTGCCAACAGCTGTGCTAATCTCCCCACAGCTGAAAATAGTAACCATAAACATGACAGAACTAATAATCAGTGGTTGTCAGGACCGCTCACTCTAACTTCATAGCAGGTAAGGTGAAGTTAACTAAGTTAGAGGGGGATACATACAAACGCCCCTGCACGCTTGTGTCAGGCTTACAAACAAGTGGCACACTGAATATCGACAGCAGAGCACAGCAGCCGCAGCATGATTCATTCATCACACTTCTGTGGTTGTGTACAGCTACAACAGGATGCTGGATGGCAGCTTATTTAAGCATTCAATCACACAAGCAGTTTGATAATTAGGACTTTTTTTTGGCCTTTGATTTACAGTGAGATCAATAAGAACATTTCTAACTCCACCCTTGGCTGTCTTCATGGCATCGTGGCCTGGGCCTGTTCACCGTATGTTGTTGTGTGTCAGCTCGAGTGGAGCGGCCGCAGCTGCACATATCCACCTCACGCTGAAGTGCTTCTCACAGTACACTTGTTAGTAGCCCAGAATTTTTCTTGTATCATTTCCCCACATGTGATCGAGAACAGGTCTGCCTCAGTAAACCAGGCGCTGTACCAAAGCAGTCAAACTCCTTGTGCTAAAGAACTGAATGATTAAAATCTGAAGAGACGACTGATACTATTCCTTTAACACACAGCCTGATGGCAGCTTCAACCAGCATTTGTCACACTGGATGTGCTGGTCATTGAATAAGCCATTTGGCACTGGCAGAGAAGATTTGGCCAGTTTTTCACACAGCCCACATACTCAGCTCTGCTGCTTCAGTACAGCGCTGTGGCTCAATGAAGCAGCAGATCTTTAGCTAAAAGTAAACGCCAGATAAAATCACCGTTTCCTCTTTTTTTTTTTTTGAGTAATGTTTGTTGTTATCTACCCAGCATTTACAGGAAATCAGTGTTTTTATTTTGTTTTCCCCTCTTGTTTTAACAACCTTCTGTCTGCTGATCACCTCAGCTGAAGCAGTAAACAAAGCTCACAGAGTTGCTGTGGTTGCTTCATTCTGTAGTTTCACTGCTGATAATGGCCTGAATTGTCTTCCTGTGCTGCTCTTGAAATACTTCTGTTGTTGGTGTGACGTATTGTGTCAATCTTCTGCAGGTGAACTACACTGTCAGCGTGGAGATCGGCAGTAACGCTCCGTACGTCTAGTAAGTGTCTGCGCCTGAGCTTGTAGAGGAAATTAAGCTTCTTTGCAAACCTACACATGAATTCCAGTTCAGTAATCTGAGCCTTTGTGTTTTGTTTTTTCAGTACATTATGCACCATGTCCAGCATCAAGGTTCACAACATTCTCGTACTCATGCAGTAAGTGTCCTTACCCCGACAGATATCTTTATCTTCATTTGCCTTTGTTACTTCTGTCTTTTATCTTAACACTTGCAGCAGAAAAATCACTGTGATGTCTAATAGACTATGTGCACGTTAGCATATGCTACTTCCGGTGCGGAAACTCCTGTGGGGAGCTTTGTTTCCGGTGTCCTATTCGCGCCTTGTTTACAGTCCAAAACAAGTTAAGCAAATGAATGAATCAAGTGGCGATTTACATTTCTATTGGCATTTACCCCAATATATCTGTAAATGATGTTCATCGACTTGTCGATATTTTTTCCCCGCGCCTCAGAGCAAAAGAGAAAAGGGATTCAACTGTTATATTTCTCAGCTGTCCCTCGTTTATCGCGGGTGTTATGTTCTAAAAATAACCAGTGATAGGTGAAATCAAGTAGCCAATTTTATTTTTTGACGGTGCAAAATGTTTCGTCGACATACAGCACTGCACTTCAGAGTCACACTGCTAGCGATCGATGCAGCGATTCTGTACTGTACAGGAGAGACGTCACGGAGGAGATCGTCTGCAGCGATCAGGACGCAGGACACAATGTGACGTAAAAAAAAAATAAGCATGCAAACTTGCACTAAAAAAATCTGCAAAACAGCAGGTGAAAGGTGAACCGCGTTATAGCGAGGGACCACTGTAATTTTGAACGTAAGTCACAACATACCCTTCGTAAATACTAATGTATAGAAACCCTGACCAGCAATCATTCATTTTTTGTGTGGCTTTTTTTCACGGTTTGTTAACATGCTGTGTAGTTGTGTACTTGAATAGCTGATATTGACATAACGGGGGAAACATCTGGTTTGACTATTCTTCCCCTGTAGTTTGAATGCTGAACATTTGCCTGTTTAAATCATAATAACTGTCACTATACAGAGATGTGCTTCTGAATGTGGACGATGTGTCTTCTGCATGCAGTAATGCAGTATTGCTTGTGTTGAGTGATGTAAACAACTGATCGATCTAAACTCTTGAAACGTCAAAATCGATCATTTGATTTTTTTATGACACAACAGTGGTGAGTGTTCCCACCTTCTCCTCTTTGTAACTTAACGCGATCTTTCCGTTTTTGAGTTTTGGACATGATTTTGGAGTACATCTTCGCAGTAGCGATTGACCGCAAAGTGAAGCTACCGGAAATGTACAACCCCACATCTGGTCTCAAACCAGGATGTTAGCATTTTCTTGTGCACAGGGTCTATATGGTCATATGAAGCAGCATGCGGGGGCAGCCAATCAGAATAAGTTGGTCTAAAAGGGGGAGGAGCTAAAATGGCTTGTTTCAGAGAGTGGATGATCTGATGAGCTGTGCCAAAGGCCCACATAAATAAGGACGTTTTAATGAATCAAGAGTGAAGGAGAAAGAGTGCATCATGGGAAGCCCCCAGCAGCCTAGGGAGGGTTCAGGGTCACCTGATCCATCAGGAACTATATATTTAGAAAGTTTTAAGCCTATCATTGTTGATTCCGACGTAGCCTTTGTGGGAGAGACAGTCATCTGAGTGACTTCTTCAGTCTCAGCTGACTGCAGGTTTCCCCAATCTTATAAATCTTTTTCTAAACACCGCGTCTCTCTGGCTTTTAAACCCCAAAACACGCTGCGCCAAAAATTGGTCCACCCCAAGGATCGGGTCCCCCGACACAAACAGAGTAACATAGTGTACGCCGTTAAGTGCCAGGAGGATTGCCAGGATTTATACATCGAGGAAACCAAACAACCTCTGGCGAAGCGGACGGCACAACACAGAAGAGCTACCTCGTCAGGCCAGGACTCTGCAGTCTATTTACACCTACAGGCCAGTGGACACTCTTTCAATGATGAGGATGTACACATCCTGGACAGGGAGGAAGGCTGGTTTGAGCGCGGAGTCAAGGAGGCTATTTACATGAAAAGGGAAGTGTAAAAAGTGTAAAGTGTAAAGTGTGCATGTTAGTCCCCATAGGGAAATAGTAAATAGATGGTCTTTCCCCATAGGGAAAGACCATCTCTGAATCGAGGAGGGTACATCTTTCACCATCTTACAATGCTGTGATTGCAGCCATTCCCCAACTCTCTGTGAATGGTACTCATGGCCATTGATCAGTGGTTATTGATCAATGGTCATGAGAATTTGCATAATTAAGATTAAGGAAATGACCTCCCAGCCCATTGTTCCTTCAGTGGGCTGGTTTCAGTCATTATGCAAATGTACTGTTTATAAGAGTGGGGAAACCTGCAGTCAGCTGAGACTGAAGAAGTCACTTGGATGAGTGATCAAACGTTTCTCCCACTGAAAGTGTGACGTCCAGATGAATCAACTTTTGGAGATTTACTTACCTGGATGATTGAGCATGCATCAAGACGTTTTAAGCCTAGTCTTACAAGTACAGAGGGCGTCTGCCTCGTGAATCAAAAATGGGAGTTGGTTTCATAGAAGAGGGGCTTGAAAGAAATCACTGAGCTGAACCAGATTTACAGGATTTAAAATCAGGGACAGCACCTATTGCTGTGTGCATGCGCTAGCACATGTGATGAAACTTTTGTCGTGCCGTGCAGTTTGTCAGGGCGAGAACGGCGAGCATAATGGCCCCATAACAGTTATTAAGGGTCAGTTTGAAGCTTCCTGTCTTCAGCTCTCACTGGTTCTGTCTTGTAGCAAGTCGCTTCTGCACGAGTAGTGTAAACACAGCCTTGGATAAGAGATGCTGTTAACATATAAACCACATTGTCAGGGTGAGGTACTTTGGGGAAACTGGGTAACCCACTGCTTTTTCTTTCTTTTCCCAAACCCTTTAATTCTTGTTTTGCAGTCTAGAGAAAAGTCATTTGTGCAGGTGCAGTTTCGTGCCCTGTGGTTCTCGATATCACACTTACAGAGCTGTGAGAAATCATTACTGTGGCAACGTGCTTTTCTTCTGTGAGCAATTAACTGGTTGAGATGTGACAGCAACATGGTAAACAGCCTGATTCTTACATCTCTGTCCTCTCCTGTTTTCAGAACCTCAGTGAAAACCTCGTACATGGTGCGAACGTCCCAGAACAGCCTGGAGGCCTATCGCTACATCGACTGCGGCTCCAACACCACGTACCAGCAGCCGGAGAATTACAAGATCCACTCCTCTGGTGACACAACGGCCCTATCCCTCCGTCACTCACTTCCGTGAGGGGCGCAGATCTGGGACTACAAGGACTGTGTTAGTGTACACTGCAGGATGGACTAACAGCTCGGCAGCAGGGAAATGCTTAATATCGTCTCATTCTCTACACTTGCTAAAAAGAGCCGACATTGACCTGCTGTTATCTCGTGCTCATCCAGGATTTGGCTGTATCTCGGAAAACAAGGGCTCTGACAAGGGAATGTTGTTCTAGCCATCAACAGATAAAGGGTCTTTGATGGACTTGTGAAATGTGGAATTATGGCCTGTAATGTCAAGCTCAGCACTGTGTTTGTGAAATGTTCTTGCCTGACTTCCTGTCCAAGTCCAGAGAGCAGTTTTGCTGTTTCAGAGCAACACGAGTCTGAGTGGAGAACTGAATGAGTCACTAGCAGCGAGCACTCCTTGTGTTGTAAGCAGGACAAAGGTCACAGAAAGCTCTTTCTTTAAGGGAACATTCTCAGCCAGGATGCTATTCGTGTTAATTATGGCTGCAGAGCTCCCTCTCTGTGCTGCTGCTGCAATGTCATTAGAATTCAATCAAAATTCCTTAGTGTGGCTTGAATGACTGTTACACTGTGATCACTACTGACTGTTGTTGGTTTTTTTGTTTATTTGTTTTTGGCAGCTTGAAACTGGTGTGGATTGTAGATATTTTTTAATGGTTCGATAAGTTATTGCCTGCCAAGTCTCGTTTGAGCACATCTATAAGGAGAGAGGGATAACATCACATGTTTTCTTCCATTTAACTGCTTTTACTATTCCCTCAGTAGAAATCTACTCACAGAATCCTTAATACAGATCCAGTTAAGCTACAAAAAGAAGTCCCACCACCATACCACATGAGCGCAATTTAAAAAATTAAAAACAATGCCTTTAGATAGTGAGAGAGCTGATTATTTGCAGTGAGACATTATTTCCAGCTGAACCCACCAAGCTTTACACATGCAGATAAATCTCAGGCAGGCTCAGAGAACACTGTTATAGAGGATTTAGAAAGTGGCTGTACCAATGCTAATAATTATAAAGGTAGTATATCCTGCTGTATACGGTTCCCTGTGATTCCCACCTCTTTGTGCAGAATAATCTGCAGCGTCCCAACCAGAAGACGGCACGTCCTCTACAATCACAGCCAGGGTTGTGCAGGGAGTGACCGTCTGTGAGACCTGCAGTAATGTTCTGAGACGTCTGAGGGGCGTTTCATTCAAACATCTTCAACTGTAGTGCACACAGTAGATTTAAAAAGGCTGCAGGTATTTGGGCATCAACAAAATCTTCAGCCGCCTTAATATAAAACTGATGTTAGGATTCGAGTTACAGGTGTTCTTTAATGGGTTAATTGGTCAAACTTTGCAATAGAATCTTGCTGTGTGAAATTAGTGTTTTGTTGAAAATTGGTCTTAACAATTAGGATTTGCACCTGCACTCAGCGTTTACCCTGCTTCTCCCAGACTGACTGTAATAGCGTCACATGCATTTCCTTCTGGTTTGCAGCTTTTCTAACTCCTTGTGTGATGGATTTCAGCACATTCTCACGCTGCCTGGAGGCTGACTGTAACTTTGCCTTTAGACCAGCTTCAGTGTGGAAGCAGTTTGATAGGAGATTGATTTTTACTTTAAAGGGACAAATGCTGTAAATTTCTGAAACATTTTTACCTATTTTGTTTGTGGGGTTTTTTTTTTTTTATTGCACCAATTAACCTTTTGGTTTAAGTTATCAAAAAAAGGAAAAGACATTAAAGGGATTTGTGAATTAATAAAATGAATAATGAATACCAATAATTGTTTTGTTCTTGCCCACCACTTACAGTGGACAGAGTACACCACGTATGAGCTACATTGCCCAACGTATTCACTCAACCATCCAAATCATTGAATTCAGGTGTTCCGATCACTTTCTTGGGCAAAGGGATATAAAATCAAGCAGCAAGCATGCAGACTGCTTCTGCAAACACTTGTGCAGGAATGGGTCTCTCTCAGGAGCTCAGTGAATTCCAGCGTGGTACCGTGATGGGATGCCACCTGTGCAACAAGTCCACTTATGAAATTTACTCACTACTAAATATTCTACAGTCAGCTGTTAGTGGTATTATAATAAAGGGGAGGCAACTGGGAACAACAGCACCTCAGGCACAAAGTGGTAGGCTACGTAAAATGACAGCAGGGTCAGCTGATGCTGAGGCACATACTGTCTTCTCTGTCTGGCAATCTGATGGACTGGTCTGGGTTTGGTTGCCAGGGGAACAGTACTGGTCTGACTGCACCGTGCCGGGTGTAAAGTCTGGTGTTGTGGGGTTGTATTTTAGGAGCTGGGCTTGAGCCCCTTATTCCAGTGAAAGGAACTTATTGGTCAGCATACCAAGACATTTTGGACAATGCCACATGGGAACAGTTTGGGGAGTCCCCTGCCTGTTCCAACATGACTGCACACCAGTGCAGTGCAGTAAGCACAAAAAAAACCAAAACACAGATGAGTGAGTTGGTGTGGAGGAACGTGACTGGCCTGCACAGAGTCCTGACCTCAACCTGAGTGAATCCCTTTGGGATGAATTAGAGTGGAAACTGCAAACCACATCAACAGTGTCTGACTCACAAATGGACTTCTGGAAGAATGGTCAGAAATTCCTAAATATTGTGGAAAGCCTTCCCAGAAGTGTTGAAGCCCAGATCTAAGCGCTGCCTGTTGGTCCCACAGATCAACACTGGGTGTCCAACGTGATTGGGCCCCTGAAATCCTGGAAATGTTGGGCCAATATCATATTACATCTGCTCATGGGAATAATCTTGAGTACAGCAGTCATGACTGAAATAACGAGTGACACAAGGAGAGTTCGGGTACCACATCACTTCAGTTTAATTCTATTCTTCATCTTCTTCCATATAAAAAGAGCGTAATAACCTTTCCAGACAAACATGTTTCTGTTTTATATCTTATACACTGTCCTATAGCTGCATGTGAAAATATATTACTACATAATAGATCAACAGACCACAATATATTATCGCTGTAATACAAGTAGTGTTTTTTTCCTCTACCAAACAAGGCAACACACTAAATAAATGCATAGTAAAAATAAAAGAAGCAATAAGTACAAAAATATAACTGATAAAAAGCTTATTAATACAAGAGTGCTTCATCTTTGGTTAAGTACATCTTTCTTTAGGTCACTGTCTTATGTGTGTGTGTCTTCTCTTTGTTACATATTCGTGTGAATAACTTTTATACTGCCTTTGGTCATGACATGAAGCAGTTGGAGGGGTGGGGGACAAACCTCCCCCCCCAAAAAAAACCCCAAAACAAACTAAAAGTAAAAAACCCAGCAAGCATTTCACGGCAATGGTGTGCTTATATCCTATACGTCCTCCCACAACTAGCTTTTCCCCCTTTTCACATACAAGTCTTTAACAGTGGACGTAACAATACCTGCCCGCATATTTACCTGGACACTCAACGCACACACACACACGCCTCTCCCTAACACATACACTTGTTAAAAGGTAAAAAACCTCACATTCCTTTTTCCTTTCATTAGTTATTCCTCTGTCTGCTTTACTAGAAGTGTATGAGTGGAAAACAAAACGAAAAACAAAAACCCACGATTGTCGATTTCTGATTACACTGATAAACGAGCTACTGAAGGCAGGCGTGACTGTAAATGTGCTGTACATACATGTGAACACCTGAACATCTCAAAGATACAGAGAGTAAATTACATCATCAGGGCTTTGGTCATGGTTTAACAAAGAAAAAAATACATGGTTTTGTATCAGTACAAAATATGAACACCAGTCATTTTTAAAGGAAATCATTATATTTGAATGGTGACCTTCCTTAAGCTTTTACAGCCTATACTGGTGCAAGCACGCATCGTCTTTGTAACTGCTACCACAAAGCCGTTTGCAGCACTTCAGCGCTGTCACTGGTTTACTGGAAACTGGCAGGACTGAGGTTATAAAAGTTCTGCTTAACCATTAAAACAGGCCTGGACCAACAAAGACATTCTGACAGGGTTCAGTGAGCCTGGATACCCACAGTCATGAAGCTCATTATCAGCCAGCTCAGCTAAATCTGGTTTCCCGTCTATTCATCATAGAGCAGGAAAGGAGAGGCCAATTACAAGCCAGTTATAAAATGGTTTGTATCCATGTGTATTTCTGCAATTATCAAGGCTAAATGGCAAAAAAAAGTCTTTAGATGGTATTCAACCATGGAGGACTTCATGGCAACATAAAGGAAACAGTGAGACCTCCCCTAACATAAAACAAATAATTTGATTAGTACAATGGAATAAGATGCTCTTATGAAAGCCTTGAGAACCTATTAATGCTCCTTAATGAAACCGAGGTACCATAGATTGTATTAAAAAAAAAGAGGACTTGGACAATCCAGATGGACTTTAAACTTGTATTCTCTCTCATGGCCAGTAGGGGGCGAACATCAGATTCAAATATACAACTCTTAGAGAAACCGACCCTTCCTCTGCCTTGATTCAAGAGCTCAGTGAACGTTCAACAGAGTTTCTTTTGTCCTATCACCCCCAACTGGTCGCAGCAGACGGCTGCCCCTCTCTGAACCTGGTTCTGCCGGAGGTTTCTTCCTGTTAAAAGTGAATTTTTCCTTCCCACTGTTGCCAAGTTGCTGCCTCACAGGGTTGGTTTGATTGTTGGGTTTCCTCTGAATTATTGTAGGCTCTTTACCATATAACGCGCCTTGAGGTGACTGCTGTTGTGATTTGGTGCTATATAAATGAAACAGAATTGAAATTCCCTTACAGGTTTGTGATATCAGTTGGAAATTTTAGCTCTCCTGCAATAATTTTCATTTTGTAAATTACGGTACTATTTAGAGTGAAACAGGTGATAAAGCAGGGCATACTTTTCTGGGCTCAGTCTTATGACTGAGAAGTAATAAGCCTATGGATGTGGAGTATCCTCTGTCCTCTTATCCAAGTATTGTCTAAATGAGGCTTCACAACACTAGTCCTCTCACCTCAAGGTCCATATATGGGATACAAAAGACAAATGTGACCCAGGGCCTCTGGACTCTGGAGCCCTGTTTCGGCTGCTTCTGTGTAGGTCAAATAGGCCACTTGTAGCTACAAAAAACCTAAGACAGGTAAAAGTGAGCCAACTTTGTGATAGTGCAAACCTAAAGGTAGCTTGCTTCGTGATAGCAGCCCTTGGTAGATGCTCGTTTGCTTTGTTGGAAAGCCATTTCCTCTGAAGCCTCCTCAAACTTGGAGTTGTGACACTGTACATCATGGCTTGTAAAAGAAACAAATAAACAACCAGAAGGGATCTCACACTGATTTTAAGTTGGCTTTAAACACTCAACAACATTCCTCATCACAAAGGCACAGAGTCATAAATAGGGATGGGTATCGTAACCCGGTTCTTGTTGAGAACCGGTTCCCACTGTTTCAATTCCTTGGAATTGTTTGCCATTTTTGCAAACGATTCCCTTATCGATTCCAGTCGTCCCGAATGACGTCATCACGTTGCGGAGCATCATTTACCTGGCAGGAAACACGGCGCGTAAGCGGCTCAAACGCTCAAAAGTTTGGTTATACTTTACGAAAACGGATGACAACAGGGCAACTTGCAATACTTGCAAAGTAGATATTTCATTTAAGGGAGGAAACACTACGAATATGCAAAAGCATTTGCTCACAAAACACGCGATGACCTTAAATGAATGTCGTGTTTTTAATTCCGCTCCGGACTCGTGAATCTCAACCCAGCAGCAGCGGTAACGTTTGCACGTCCTCTCCCGTTAATGCGGCAGGTAAATAATCAACTAACAGTGCATATTATGTTAGAGCTATCTGCCTTATTACAAAACCTGCCATTACTGTGCATTTAGGTGACCATGATGAGAGAGACAGAGTCTGGCTCAGATGCTGGCAGTTGTCGCTGCAGTCTACCGGTAGCGTCTCCTCTCAGGCCAGGATAGTCACTGCTCGGTGACATTCGTCTAAGTTTGTGGTAAAAGGCTTGAACCCATTTGCCACAGCAGATGCCCCGATTTTCGGTAAGTGAATGTGTTTAATTGTAGGCTGGACATTACTGGATATTCTTGTGTAATTGCTACAGAATGATTTATGTTATACTTTGTTATTGCTACAGAAGAATATTTATTTTATTATTTTGCATTTACATTTTTTTTCCTGGGGACCCTGTGACACCCCATTGAAGAGCCGTAGGCTGTGGATCTCTTAAGATCTCACGGTTGGGTTTGTAAGGCCATGTTACTCCTAAATTTCTACCTTGTTCAGATATAAAACAAAGTTCTAAGCTAATCGACCTTAGTGTTCTCCTTTTTTAAAGAGAATCGATAAAGAATCGAATCGTTAAACAGAATCGAAAATGGAATCGGAATCGTGAAAATCTTATCAATACCCATCCCTAGTCATAAATGAACAGTAACGGCCTTGGCAGAGTGACTGTATATGTTGCCCATGCCTCTTTCTCAGAGTGTTTTCCTCTCTTTGTCTCCCTCTATCGGCGCTGAGACAGCATGACCTTGTTGATGAAGTTGACGATGGCAGAAGCAGGTTGGTCGGGGTCCAACTCAGCAAATAAGTGGCAGACGTTCTCTGCCGTGCTGCCGGGCTTCTTAGCGACAAAACCAAACACCCTGAGATGGGAAGGGTGGAGAAAAAAAGAGAGGATGTGAAAAAAGGAAGAGACAACAAAAAGAGAAGCAAAGGCAATCACACAAGGACTCTTGAGTTTGTGACAGCCTACTGCATAAAACTACCATGAAACAATTAGTGTAACGTATGGCGTGATCATGTAGGACTTATAATTTACTAATTAAATCATCAAAAGTTTGCAGGATAAATTTTGCCAAGATGCACACACAGTTTGATGCCATGCAGCGGCATACACACGTCTATACTTCCTGTCAGCCTTTAAAACACAAACAGAGCACTTACTTAACAGTTGTGTTGTCTGAGTTAGTCCACCTAAATCCAAGAGACAGACAAAGAGAGAGAGACAGAAGACTCAGGCGTGCACATTCACACAGGCAGAGCTGCCAAACAAGCTGATGCATCCGCAGCCTCGGCCGCAGTCCGCATGCTCGCGTCTCTCGTGGACGCTCACGCACATTCATTAGCCCCACACGGGTACAGACTCACGCGAGGACTCAAGGCAACGAATGCAATGAATGATCATGATGCAGTGAGTTCCTGCTATCTGTTCATTAGCGACGGTTCTAACTAAGGCTACAAGACACAAAGATGTCTTTTTCTTCTGAGTTTCCCACCTCCTGTCCTTTGGATCGATGCTGCTGAAGGTCACACTGTTCACTGCGTAATGTCTCCTGAAGAAAACTCTGGAAGAAGACAGACGTGTAAAGAAGTGCCAAAATTAATGTAAATAGTTTTCTAAAAATAAGAATCCAGGGGGGAATCTCCTACCTGCGCTGGTTGTCGGTCAGCGTGATACCCTGTGATGTCACTTTGAACTGGACGACTGTGGCAGCAGGACGCGGGCTACGACCCAATGTGGCATCTGTTGCCTTGGCAATGGCCTGGGGGCCCGTCAGGGACTCTGTTTCCACAGAGTTCAGATAGAGGACGTTACAGGCTGAGGGAAGAAGGACAGAGACATCAGCGTGTTGACCACAGACTGTATACAAACAATGGACGTACAGAAGACATCGTGACATCACTGGTTTATGGAAATGCATTTTGAAACCTGTCCCTTAGCTTCACAGCCATCACCGCCTGCTCGTTTCTGGAGTAAAGTCGGGCATTTTAACATGGCAGACTTTTGGAAGCACACTCAAGTGTCCATTCAAGGAACAGCAATTTAAAAAAGAAGAAGAAAAGAATTAAATCCAGGAATAATATGATTGTAAAACATACAAAAGAAGATGATTATAGCCAATATGCTAATGAGAAAATGAAGGTTTTGTTGTGAATCAGTTCCAAAGATGAGGCGCAGCACAGTTAAAGGCTCTGACACCCGTGGTCTTAAATCTGAAGCGAGGAGCAGTGAGAAGAGCAGCTGAAGCTGAGCAGAAGGAGTGTAAGGATGAAGGAGGTCTGAAAGGTATGGCAGTGCCAAGTCACTGAGACATTTGAAAACGAGAAGCAAAATCTTCTTTTGGATCCATTGAGGAATGGGGACCCAACGCTGGATGAAAATGGGTGGTAATGTCACTTTTATTGCCACTGAATTTGAACCATGATCCTAGTGGTGATGCCCTGTAGGCAGGAGGTGAGGGGAAGACAAGTTCTGGGTTTTATAGACCAATACAGTTGTGTGTCATCTGCATAAAAATGAAACTGTATACCAAAGTGATGTAAGATATTTCTGAGAGGATGAGTTATAAATAGCAGGGGGCCCAGCACTGATCCCTGTGTGACTCAGGCTGATGGAGAGTGAACAGTCGAGCCTTGAACAAACTGTAAACCACTGAAGGGCTGCGTCACTAAATCCAGTGTTAGCCAGTCGTTCTAACAGAAGACGACACGATGTGGTGTCAAAAGCAGCTCTGAGGTAAAGGAGGATGCTGAGAAGGCCAGCATCAGATATGAGGAGGTCGTTTAAGAGCTGTTTCAGTACTCAGCTCAGAGGCTGTTATTAACTAAGCAGGGCTGGAGTTGAGATGTTACAGTGGGTTCGAGAAGAATTCAGCTGAAAATGGATGTTGGAAATATTACTGGAGAATAAATTCTGGAATACTGCACACTGTGTCATGGAGGCGAGATGAGAAGTAGTTTCTGTGGGCTTGAATAGCTTGTGTACAGTTTGAGTAATATGATGATTCGGCAGTATGTAGAGCATTCTTATTGAGGAACAATGATCAAGTCGAATTTTCTTCGACAGCCGTTAGTTACTGGTCGACTGTTTGGCACTTCCTCTTTGGCTTCCTCTTTTTTTAAACCGGACAGAAGTGCTTGCATTTTCTCTGGTGCATCTATTCCTTGCATGTTACATCATTTCTCAGCCAGGCTTTATGTCCAGTATTGCATCAGTTTCCTATTATTTGACCTGTGCAAAGGTTTTAGAAACTGAAAACTAAAAAATGTGACTTTATAGGAAAGAAAAAAAGTACCAATTTGGTACTTATTTTGTAATCTAAAAAAATAAGATTTAAACTTTAAGAGTCTTCCTTTGCACTTAACTGTTCATACATGAATACATAACACAGTGTGTTTCAGGAATAGAGAAAGAGAGAACTTACCGGCTCCCTGCTTCAGCAGGTCAGCAGCTGTGCTGATGTTACTGACTGGTTGAACCTCCTGCACCTCTCCTATGAGATCTGACAACAGACAGATAAACCATGAATTATATCTGATAGATTACAAAATACCTTGAAACACATGATTTATTTATTTGAAGGCCTGTGTGGCCTTCAAATATTCCATTACCCTTCTCAAGGATTTTAAGAGCACAGGGCAAAGAGATGGGTGTGATGGAGTGCTGGTAAACGAGTGCAGACAGACTCCCTGTGAAAAAACAGAGGAAATCATTAATAGATCTGAGACAGCAAGGTGCACAGGAATGCCCGTTTCTAACTGGAAATAGATGGAATGAAACGTACCAAAGTAGGGCTCGTTCTGACAGCCTTTAATCTTCACTCCTCGAGGACTAGTTTCAATCAGAAAATGTCTCACCAGCTGCTCCAGAGGGTCGCTCACTGTAAAAGCAGATTCATAAAAAGTTATAAAGGAACAAAAACAGAGCAGAGGGACAAATCTGTCAAAATGAGACATCTATGTGATGGAGGCAATCATTTTTCACCTTTGTTGCTGTGGTTGCTGACATTGGGAGGAGGTGTAACCACCTTCAGAGCCAGCCCATAGGCTCCCTGGAACGAGTTACTATCCCTGATTAGGAAAGTGCCGGGCTCCCTCTCCTTCAGTGCTGCGATTGCTGTGCCCAAGCACAGTGATAATTTAGGAAATTTACTTATGTAGGCTTTTGAAGAAAAAGAAACAAGTATGAACTAAAGAGCTTACCTTGCTCTCTAGAGATGCTGGGCTTATACCAAAACTTGGAACTATCCTGGACAAACTTCACACTGACCCTGTTTGCAGTTTCTGCCTCTACTTGGTCATTTTGGTCAGCAGGGGGTGCAATTTCCCCCACCGTGGGAGAAAACGTGACGTGGTGCTGATGCTGAGGAGCAGTGGAGGCAGGCACGTGACCCACAGCTGGCTTTACCCCATTGCTAGGTGAACCCGAATGTCCGGGCAAATGCCGCTTCTCTGGCAAGGGGGGTTGAGGGTGAGGAAGAGGGATGGAGATTGTGGTGTAGCTCGAATAGGATTGTGGGGTGTGAGGAGAGTAGCAGGGCCTCTTGCTGGTGTCCACAGCTGCACTCTGCTCCGTGCTGGCTTGGTAGTTGTGATGTGGGGGCCCGTGCGTGTGGTTTAGGTGGTTGTGGGGGTCGGACCCACTCAGCATCAACCTTCTACCCAAGGTGGCGAATCCGGGAACTGGTGCATCAGACACAGGGGAGCCGTCCATGCTGCTGGGCCCAGGCTGTGGGGATGATGGTGCAGGAGAAGATGTTGGGTTGGTGGTGCTGGTGTGTTTAGGAACCTCTGCGTGAGACTCCCTGGTCGGAGAGGATCCATTAACCAGTGCTACAGATGGTCCCACAGAGCTGGTAGCTTGGGTGTGGCTCTGAGGCTGTGACATTTCAGATGGTGGACCACCAGCTCCTGCAGGAGAAAAGGTCTGCAGTGGGCCAGCGGGATGAGGGTGTGCATCTGATATAGGCGAGGTATGGACAGGGGAAGAAGGTGTCTGGCAGTGTGCTTGGTTTGTGGTGGTTGGTGTCACAGAATCACGAGCTGAGGACATATCTGAGCTACAGTGCTGCTGTTGAGGAGCAGCTGGCGACATGTTTGTTGGTGCAGGGCACTGATTGGTGGATTCTGTTTGTTTCGGTGAGGCTGTGTGTGACTGTGCTTCTTTGGTGTGTGGCTCCAGGCGCTCTGTGCTGCTTCTTTGCCTGTCTGGTGATTCCTGGATGACGTTAGTGTGACAGTGGGCCTCGTGAGTCTGGGGAGCCTCGTAGTCACTGATGATGTCTGTGGTTCGAATATCATACTCTCTCCTTCCTGGACTGGGGCTAAAATGGACACATATTATTATTATTAAAGACTAGCAATTTCTTCACTGTAATATCAGAGTGAACTCTCATACATTAAAAACACCTGAGCGATATACTGTATATGTAAATTAATCAAGAACAAATACAAACCCAAAGCCCCCAACACGGGCACCCTGCGTGAAATGCTTGAACAGAAGAAAATCCCCTTTTCTTTCAACAACAGTCTGTAAATTAGAGTTGGGCAGATCGATACACTGGTATTGGTAATAAATTGATACTAGGGCATCAGGGTGATTACTTTGTTTCCATCCAGTTCAGTATGTAGGACACTGAAATGTGTTTTTTCTTTTTGGAGCATGACAAAGTAAACCTCAAACATCCACTATGAGAACTAGGGCTGCTCAATTAATCGAATTTTAATCACGATTACGATCTGGGCTTTCAACGATCATTAAAAATGACTGAGCCGATTATTAGCCCCTCCCACCTTAAAGGGCGGTCCGTGAAAATATTGTCGGGCATAAACCGGTCCGTGGCGCAAAAAAGGTTGGAGACCGCTGATTAAGAGGACCCGAGGGAAGCTCGGAAAGCTAAGCAGAAGTTATTTGGAGAGGAGAGTGACTGCCGTTGGTTGAAAAGAGTTTAAAAAAAAACTTCAGTGGTGTTGCACACTATTTTATATTATTTTTTAAAGTTATTGTTAACCCTTTAAAGCCGGTCAGAGCAGCACGCGCCGTTTTGCGTAACTATTTTTAAATCCCTGTAGAACCTGAACCGTGTAAGCTAGCGCAATAATTTGTTTTGCATATGAAACCGGAGGAGTTGTACTTACATCTTATGCCATCAGCTTGTCCTCGGTCACGGTTTCGTTCCACATATAGCTTTGCAAAAATTGCATAAAAAGCGCTTGCAGGAACAAAAACATAATATTCCAGAAACACGCTTTGCCGTTCCTATCAGCTGTTCGTAACACTTCCCACAGTGAAATGATGCACATGCTGTTTTCTTTGCAAATTTGCATCATAGGATTGTTTTTTGTTTTTCCTGCAGTATATAAAAATTGCTGTATCTCCAAAATAAAACTATGAAGACACTCAAAATAAATTTCCTGTGGTGGGAAACTATTTTTTGCAACTTTATTGTATTTAAAGTTTTGAGGGATAAACCTCTTAAATTTCTCCAAGTAGAAATATATGTAAACAAAACAAAAGCGATTTTAAATTTTCTTTGTAGTTTATTGCACTTTTTTGCAATTTATGTAAGGACTTAATGCATACATATTATTAAAATATGGGCTATAACAGTTGTATTGATGTATAGCAACTTGAAATGCTCCCACAAATGGCACTACAGCATGTAAAAAAAATAAATAAAAATAATATAAGCTCTGGTGGACTTGGTTCTATAGTAGGTCTTAAAGGGTTAAATAAATATCGTCAAATAATCGAGATCTCAATTTCAGTGAAAATAATCGTGATTATCATTTTTGCCATAATCGAGCAGCCCTAATGAGAACTATCTGAACCTTTGTGTGTTGACTGTCACGTTTACTGTTATTTTTACCCCACATTTAACCTCCTAGGACCTGGTGTCCCCATATGTGAACATCACATTTTGGGTTGTCTAGACCAAAATACTACATTTTGCTCTACAAGGGCCTGATATCCACTTACCAGGACATTATACTGCCACTGTTCTATCAAAATTTAAAGTGAATGTCTTCATATGTGGATCTCTTTTTCTTAGAAACAAAAATCAGGTAAAAACAAAGAAAGTAATTCTTTGTTTTTACATTCATCAGGTCCCAATCAGCCCAAATAGCAAAGAGATCTTAAAAATGCATGCCATGAAAGAGTTTGGGTCTTCGGAAGTTAAACAACAGAAGCTGACCCAAAGTCGTAGTATGTGGTTTAGCACTGTCTTGCTGAAATATCCAAAGCCTTACCTGAAAAAGATTTGATCTAAATTGGAGGATAAGCTGCACTAAAATGTGTATATACCTTTAAAGTGATAGCACCTTTCCAGATGTGTTAAAAGAATAGGGAGTGCTACACAGCGGTAAACATGTTACTAATATTTTTCTTAAAATTGTACTTTTTTATTTTTAAACAGTTTATTATGTGTCTTATTGTGAATAAAATTTGAGTATATGAGACTGCAAATCCTGGCATTCATTCCAGACTGTTTGGGAACTGGGGTTGTATAATCGGACTCCTGCGCATCGGTCTGGCTTGTGCTCTGATCAGAATTAAAGTTTTAAACTGTACAGTAACAGTTCATTTGAGATTTTACAGTAAAGACTCCAGGATATTAGCGAGTGATCCCAAAACAAGCTGCATGTTAGCTGGCACCCCCGCTCCTTCATGGCGTCTGACCGCTCTGTTCTGTGCTGTGTCTTCATCATACTTTCCCCATGAGCCATGCCACCAAATATAAATTCCAATAGAAAGAAATAAGCTTTTGACTATGGTGTTCTAATTAGACTAACATTATTTATGATTCACTGTCATAGCTACATATTTATTTCCACTACGGTTGTGAGAAACAGCTCATCCGACACTACCAAGGTTGGGTAGCAGTGGAATACCTTTCCTGTGTGTGTAGAGGGCTGCTGGTGTGAACGGGAGTGGGCGATCCAGACATGTCGGATGGTGTGGAACACGCGACATGGCCGTTTCTGTGCACCCTCTTAAAAGAACCATGGGTAATGTGATCCCTCCAGCCCACGCTTTCACCAGAACTACGGAGGCCATCTGACAGAGGATGGAAACAATGAAGCATTTTTACTAAAAATGACCTCAGTAAACAGCATCAGCTGTTACTTAGTTAATATGTTCCCAGCTGATTCTTATGCAAGTTCCCTGTAAAAACCCAGTCTGTGCTTAAGGCATGTATCAAGTTAAAACCAAATTTTCAGTGCATGCTGTTCCTCATTATTCCTACATTACTGCGTGTTTTTGTTTTAATGTGACTCACCAGTGTGTGAGTCAGAGCTGTATGACTGCTGTGAGTCTGGATGGTGATGATGGTGGTTGTGGTTATGCTCTGCTGGTCCGCTGCTATGGCCGCAGTGGCCCATCACAGCGGAAGCAGGAGGCAGCGGGGATGTGGACTCGGACTGGTAGCCTGAAGCGTAGCCCCTGCTCTCAGATGGCGAGGGTTGGTAAGGTGAGCAGGGGCACACCTGACGTGGTGTCTGGTAACCGCTGCTGCTGCTGCTGTACTTCATGTCCAGGTGGGAATGAGCGTGGGACCTCGATGCCTCTGGATAAGCTGGGTGACCTGATGGCAAGGGGTCAAAGGTAAAGGCTAGAAGATCTTGGCCCTGTGGGCCATAGGAGGCTACGGTGGCTCTCCTGTGCCAATATTCAGCCTGTCTGTCCCTCTCCCACTGCAGCTCCGCCTCCCTGTCTCGCTCCCAGTGAAGGGACAGTTCTCTGCCTCGTCTCAGCCCTGGGTCCCTCTCCCAGTGGAGCTCTGACCCCCTGGGTAACTCCTCCCTCGTTCTCCTAAGCCCCACCTCCCTCTGATGAAGCTCCGCCTCTCTGTCCCAATGGAAGTTGTCGCCACGCTCCATCCTGAGGGTGTGATAGGCCACCGAGTCCTCTCTCCTCATGCTGCAGTCTCTGCAGGGACAGCCAGAGGGCGGAAGACCATCCATTAGCATGATATCATGGTAAGTAGGGCTGGTGGCTGGTTTCTGGTGCTGGTGGGGATGGTGGTGGCTGTGAGGTGGAGGAGGGTGGTGATAGGGTGTGTACTCATCTTCCCGATAGCAAAGGCGACCTGGGACAGACATAGGGTGGTGATGGGGGTGGTTGTGAGCATGAGGGGCAAGGTCTGCTGATGGGTAAGGACAGGTATGACGCGATGACGGAGCCTCTGAGCAGGAGCGGTGCAGGTAGTGTGGCGAGCCACTCTGACGGTCCCACACCAGATCTGGAGGTGGGAGGGACTGGTGGGAGTGGGGGCTATAGTGTTGGCACAGATCCATGTGTGATGGTGGAGCAGCGGGGTTGGGGCTAGCTGAAGGAGGAGCCCCGTGATGGCCGTTGGTCCCTGGAGCCCGATCGAGGCAGTAGCCATTAGGCATGAGAAGGGTGCGGTCGCATCCTGGCTCTGCACAGCGCTGCGACCGGTAACCATCCCGGCAGGAACAAGACCGACTGAGCCTCAGCGTGCCCGTTCTCTCAGACTGAATAGAATCTCCATCATCCAAAATGGCGGTCTCTCGCTCTCCATCTCGGCTTCCCTCGATGCCGCCGAGAAGACGTTCGAGCTCCTCCCTTTCCTGTCTGGTGGGCGGCGGCGGACGATTGGACTCCTCCTGATGGTCTGGATGGATAGAAGACTGGTTCAAATGGAGGGAATGTGCTGAAAGGCCGGAGTCAGAGCCTTGGGTGATGCGGTGATCGGGCCTGTCTTCTGCAGCTACTCCCCCTGCGATGCTGCCGTTGGCTGAGGTGAGAGAACCAGAGCCTGGACCTCGCCGCTTCTTTATCTGAGCGTAGAGGCTACCATCCAGAGGACCTCTGGTGTGGGCAATATCTACGACGCAATGATAGATAAACGTAGTTTTTAATCTCACAATAAACATCAGCTACTGTTGGAGCTTTAGTAGACTTAAGTATACTTGAACTCTGTCTTAATAATGGCTACCACCATGAGTGCTGCTGTTAAAGGCTTCTACCGCTCCACCATGACGACTATGAAGACATCGGTTACCTTCCAGGCTATCCTGGTATCGCTGGTTAAAATTTTCATAGGAATCCCAGCGAACCACGGGGTCAGCGGTGTTGTAGTCCACTGTGACAGCCGGATCATTCTTGTGGTATTCACGGCCTGAGAAGACATTTATTACCGTGTAGTTCTGTTCCTCAAAATATAATCAAAACATTTTTTTCCTTTTTCTAGGAGCCTATCCCAGCACAGGGCTAACAAACAAACAACCATTCATACTCACAGTCACACCTACGGGCAATTTAGAATCACCAGTTAACTTAACCCCACCAACTGTATGTCTTTGGACTGTGGGAGGCTTGATTATTTATTATTATCCCCCCCAGAAGAAACTGTGAACTAACCTTTGATCCGCTCTGGTCCGGAGGAGAAGACAAACTCCACTGTGGCATCAGATGGGAAACGCTCATCTGGGGAGGAGGAAAAAGGATATTCCCCACGATCAGGATAAATATTTTTGTTCCTAGCTTAAGAAATATACCCACAGTCTACAAATATACATGATGCATTGAGTTTTTCCTTTCCAGTCACCTTTCTCACTCACTATGTATTAACAGACCTCTCTGCATTGAATCATATCTGTTATTAACCTCTGTCTCTCTTCCACAGCATGTCTTTTATCCTGACTTCCTTCTCTCTCCCCAACCGGTCGCAGCAGATGGCCCCGCCCCGGAGGTTTCTTCTTGTTAAAAGGGAGTTTTTCCTTCCCACTGTCGCCAAAGTGCTTGCTCATAGGGGGTCATATGATTGTTGAGTTTTTCTCTGTATCTATGAAGCGCCTTGAGGTGACTTTGGTTGTGATTTGGCGCTATATAAATAAAAGTGAATTGAATTGAAATATCGGCGTAATCTCCACATGAGATCCAGATTCATGAAAGCATACTGGTGCTTTTGAGACATGTAGAGTATATGTGAAGGAAACAAACTGCTGCTTCAGGATATCAAATACACTAATGCGTTTCACAGATGTGTTTGGAGTTGTATTTACCCACAGTCATGTGTTCATGTGTAACGGATCGACTGCCACAGAGCTTTAAGAACATGCTTCCACACATATTCTGTCATTTCAGGGGGAAAAAAACGACGAGGAAATGAAGTAATGAGCATATTCATTATGGGCTTAAGCAGCAGATAAGCACTTATTAGATATGATTCAATCTCTCTGTGGGATATTTGGCGATGTACGGTATAGCACAGCTCACGCTCACTACCCTCTCCTCCAGCGAGCTGCTATTATATCCTCAATGGGGATTAAGCTACTACTATTGTGGGATTTATTTAACCATGACATTAAGAAGCCAAACCGCTGTGAATATATTCCCACAATGCCAATTCAAAGAGCTGCTATTATGTCAGTTAGTTGTAAGTGGTGATTATCCAACCACCACTAACAAGTTGTGCCAGAGTGACAATTTCAAAGTATCCACAGAAGCAAAATCGGGCATGTAGGGAGCTTTATCATTTCTTTCTGAATGTTTAAAGTGAGATTATTTTTATACTAAGCTAATTCCAAAAAGCTGGGATGCTGAAATCTCATAAACTCATAAAACATAGCATAAAACACACATAATTAGGTTAACTGGCAACATGACAGTAACATGAATGGGTATAACAAGAGCTTCTTAGAGAGGCAGTTTCTCAAAAGTAAAGCTTGAAGTGGTTCAACAATCTGAAAAGCACAAACTATGGGACTTTTTTAGAATAACGTTTCTCAACATAAAACTGAAATCCGTGTAAATGTCATCATCTACAGTACATACAGTACAAAATGCACAGAAATGTCTGTGTGCAAGCGAAAAGGCTGGATGTACATATTGGATAACAGTGATTTTTGGGCTCTCAGCTGACACTGCATATTACTGGCTCTTTTGCTATTATCAATATAATATAATACCTGCAAATTTTCTACTTATCACTTCAGTTTCTCAAACTTTGACCCATCAGGCGGTGCTCTACACAGTGTGCAGGGGAACCTGCAAGCTTAGAAGCTACCAAACACAAAACGCCAAAGAAATGTGATCCTGATCAAATTCAGTCAAGTGAAGCCAAGCAGAACTGACTGTACAGAAATCTGTGGATCCATTTGTCACGATTTCTATTTAACATCTTCATTCTTGAATCAATAATTTTAAAATATGCCACCTAAATTTTAATAATGTGGACTGTAAAGTCGCTGAACTGAAAAACAGGCATGCAGCTACAGCAAAATGTCTTTCTTTGAGCACAAAGCAAAGAAAAGTAAGCTTCATTTTCATGTGCAGCTAGTTTTGTGGCAGAATAGGCTGCATAGTCCAGATAAACAACATCTTTTATTTTCTTTTTTCTAAAATGAAAATTCCTGAATTGTCATTTTGCTTTAATTAGCTTAAATTTTAGAGTGCATGCACTTTTACTGAACTGCACATACTACACGTAGCTGTCATAATCAAGGTTTTGAAACAGATTCCTCTGAGTTGTTATGGTAACCTTCTTAGAACTATAATCAGAGTGCTGTATTTAAATGCTAATCATTAATAATCATTAAATTAACACCGCCAATGAATTTCCCAGAGTGGTCCAGAGTGACGCACCAGTACACGCTTCGTCCAGCTCCCCTTTGCCAAACCACAGCTGGGATCCGTGGATGGTGCAGGTGTGGAACTGCAGCCTGAACACGGTGTCTCTGTCAGCACTTTGAGCTCGCCTGTGGTAGCACTTGACCTGCAGAGGGCAGCAGAGAGTGAGGAAAAAGAGCTGCAGAATAAAGTGCATGTGGGATAATGACAGCTTGGCGCAGTAAATAAAGGGATTTGTGTTCCACATGAGTGACACCTACAACTTTGGAAATGGCGGAGCACACAAAACAAATTATGACTCCGTGTTAACAAAGGGAAAAGAAACTTTTCCAGACCAAAATGTATATTTTAGAGATTTTACCACAGTCGTTTCATGTTTGTTGAGCATAAATTAAGTCATTTAGTCATAATCCCACCCCCACCCATAACTGGGGGCTTCTGGTTGTCATTTCCTTCCCATATGACTCACCATGATGTCACCCTTTAGCAGCAGTGCTGGTTCAATGGTCACACACAGTCTTCTGCCTCCAGTGCCTTGAAGGTCACTGTGGACAATAAAGGGTACACAAACGAGCCTGTTACGTATCCACGGAAAGCATGGGGGTGTACATGGGGGTGTAAGGAGTGTGAAAGATCGATTGTTTACACTTGTTTTATACTACCACAATCTGTGACCATGTTCTCTCAACACTTTTAAACCTGGAAAAAGCCTTGAGGTAAAAATGAAAACATGATAGGAGGTGGAGTAAAGGAGAAGAAACGCATCCCTTTACTCCCGTCTCTTTAATTACTCTGCGATGATGCTGAAACTTCAGCGCATGAAAGAAAACATCCCAGAGCAAACAAATACATTCAGCTTATCCGGGCTATCAGTTGGCCTCACGACAGAAAGATAGACTCACTATATGCCTGAAGTGTAGACCAACTGCATGGACTGGTAGATTTTCAAGAAAGGGTAGTAACCTGGAAAGAGGAGAGAGAGATTTTAGACATGGCAGGCACTATCAGCACGAAGACAGGAATGCGCTGACTCCTCGTGGACTCGATCATCAGATTAACGTGTGTGGGTAGAGGCTGTATGTGACCGTGCATGTCATCTGCATTCAATAACACTGTCCCAGCACCTAGCCAAGAAAAACATGGCGCCGCATGTGCATTTTATCTGCGTAAGGAAGCAGAGTGAGACAGGAGATTAGATACCTCAAGTCTGTTTACACTTTTCTCACTTGTATTTTAGCAAGTGAGAAAAGTGCAGCTGAGGCGGGGTACACCCTGAGGGGTGAACTGCAGTTCCTCCAATGGCCACTTGAGGCCATCCCCAATGCCTGACTTCGACCATAAAATGAACACAACTGCAGCAACGATTCGGATCTCTTCAGCTAAACAAATATACATTTAGTATTTTATAATAATCCAGTTGGATTTTGTTTTGGCTTTGATGTTAGGCTTTGCTGAACTGGACCTCTCGACTACGTTTGCTCCGTTGACACCTTTTCAAGCGCATGCCTTTTTTTTATCTAAATAGACAGTAATGCTCAAACTGTTAAAACTGAAGCTTCAAAATGCAGAATCAAAATTCCACACTGAGTATGAGAGAGAGGTTTGGGGTTAAGAACAGGCAGAAATACATTTTTTATTCAGTGATTTGGTCAAAAGGTCAGGAAACACACCTCCTTCCCCCTGGAAGTTGGGGAGCGACGGGATGAGTACTTGATGAAGGAAGAGAGGGCTGCTGTTCATCTTGATCGCCCCAGACAGAAGGCCTCCAAAGTAATATATATACCTGGAATATAAAGAGGGATTATGAGAAGTTCTTATCATGGAAAATTACATTTACCACCTCTGAGGACAAATGATAAATGTAAAACAGCCGCTGAGCCATGCTGCTGTCAGACAGCCCCCAACAGCGGAGAGCCAGGTACGAAAGCAGCAAGAAATATCTAACGCCGGCTGTGTGGACTCCACGTTTCCATTTCCCATCTGTCTTCTTGTCTCCAACACAGCTGGAAGTGATTCGATATTCCTGAATCAGTTGTCATTTCCTTGAGCTCTGTGTTGGCCTTTAATCGTCGTAAGACGTGAGTTTCTTTTAAAAGTATCTATGTGTGAAGCTGCACACTCAGCAGGCAAAGAGCTCAACTCAGCAGTTCTCCAAAAGAAGCGGGCAACCAGGTGACAAATATGAAAGGAAACTAATTCAATAAGAATTTTGCAGACAAAATAAAATTATTATGGTACTGTGCTGACCTCAAATTGAATCTGTTTATATAATTGAAGGTAAAAATGACTGGGAGTGATACATTTTTCATTTTCTGAAGTAAGACAGCACAACATCAGAAAACCACCTTAAATCCAGTTACAGCATGTATATGGACAGTTTGTTGATTAGAAGTATGAAATGTTCCCTCTGTTTAAAGCGGATTGCACCCTACACAACTTCTGGCTCTAGTTTCTTTTTGTAAGCATACAGAAATACATGTTATATACACATAAAGATAAGTCAGAAAATGCTAAACTCTTTCCTGAAGTATTAACATTTTATTAAAGGGGACATATATGTAGAGTTTTGGTAGAGTAGCTCTAAATGATTCACACTTCTATATCTTACGCTGGTTGGACCTTCCTGAAACCCATGGATTCTCCCTCTCAGTGAAATATCCCCTTTTAGCTCCTGTATTTTTAAAAAACACCCGCCGTCAAATTCCACTTTCTTCTAAACGTAAGCTTCCTGAAGAGCTGCACCTGGTGCTTGGTAGTCGGGTGCTCTGTGCATGCTGCAGATAACCGTGTAAAAGTGTCAGCTCATCGCATCAGTAGAAGCCAGTATTCAGGGCAATCTGAACCCTGAGACCTTTGCTCACAGGGATTCATTTTATACAGGATTATTTGAGTATTTGGGGATGGAATTATTATTAACATCCAACACTGTAAAATTAGATATTTGGCAGAAAGTAAGGAAAAACAAATGAGGTCCCCTTTAAAGTGTCTGGGGTAAGCGTACTTACTATTCTGTCAAAGGGAAAGGATTATATTCCATCTAAGGAGCCAAATTCACTTTTTTATTCAATTTACAAGCTCCATCTTTCTTTCATTTCACCTTTTAAAATCATTTTCATACTAGGAAAAGCATGATTATTACTAACAAGATTGACAATAGCTGTGTTGTTCTATTTAAATGCCCAAAACTCTGACAGGTCGGCCAGAAGCTGAGGCAGCTAAATGATATGGAGCTCTGATTCATTATATTATTTGTTGAGCTATAAATCCAATCCAGAATCCTAAAATACATTTCCTTCCCCTAGAGGATGGAAGGATGATGCATTTAATAACTTTAGTATGACGTGGGAAACCCACACTCACCACTTCTCCCCACCCCCACACCCACTCATTTTCCACTCAGATCATCCCGTGGCCTCTACCTGTTTTGGGACGGCTGGAGAGACGAGGACACCTTATCTTCACAGAACTTCCTCATGGCAAGAGTACTGAGAGCCTGGTCCGCCCTGTAGATGAATGCACAAATACAAACACACACACACACACACAGACACACACACACACACACACACACACACACACACACACACACACACAGACACACGCACTAGAATAAATTAAGTAGCCAACAATTTCCATCATGGGACTTGCACCAGACTCTCTAGATGCCAGAAAGTACATGGAGAGGATACAGCTGGCATTGGCCACAGGATAAACCAGTTTCCACTGTTCCTGTGCAAAATCCGGAGGGCTTCATTTATCAAATGACTTATCATCCAAGTCTGAATGGAAATCTTTGTCCTGCACGTACATAAACCTGCACACATCAGCCTCACTGCTGGAATATGTTTAAAAGCATTTTAGGTTATGCATGTTTGAGTAGCTGAATTTAAGCCGAACATGTTTTTGCTCGTTGCTTCAAACTTCAAGTGCTGACGCATCGATGCTCCGATAATATTGCTTGTTGGGTACAAGCCTCCACTGCATGCGCTGCAGTCTATTATACCTGAGCCCAAACAAAGAACGATATGGCAAAGTATTGCGATATTTTATGTTGCGATTTTATATCGATAGAGATACCAAATATTGACATTTAATTGAATACATTAAAATATTCTTAGTATAATATGAATCAGAGGGCACCAAAACCCTCAGATAATGTTAGTCGAGCAAACGTGGACTGACTGCAGTTGCTCAGAGACATTACGAGCACAACTCGAGGGGACTCGACTTTAACCGGCTGTCGGCTGGTTGTATTCTGTTATATTCTTAGAAAACGTGAAGGATGAAGAGCACAAATGTGATAATTACATGTGACTTTCTGTCCATGTAAACAACATGATATATGTGATCTTTAACCATTTATCACAGTTAATTGCTGTATCATCACAAACAGACTGCATGTAATAGCCAGCTTGTTCCCATTCAATTGCAGACTGATACCAGACCAGTAGCAGACAGACTCCGACTTATGGCAAGATTTATGGCATGTTTTAGGTTTTATAATTTACAGTTGAATAAAGGTTATAAATAGCAATACTGCAAAACTTGCAATAATGTTAAACATTGCAATAATATCAAATCATGAGGGACGTGCGGTGGTAATCTGTCACAATCACAATACTGGATCACCCCAGTCTGGGCCACAACATCCTAAAGGTAAAACTAAACAACCAAAACAAAGCAAGTGTTTCATGCAGCGGAGCATATCAGTCATTGCAGCCCCTGCACATGATCTCTTTCCCCCCAAATGGAAGCCAGGACAGCACTCTTGATTGGAACATCTGGGAGCACAACAACACTGACCACTTTTAGACTGTTTTAACTGTGTTTGTTTGCTCTTGGGAACTGAACGTAAACAGGTTATTGCCCCAGACAGTCTTTAACACATTAAATGTGCAGATACTCTGATTGATTGCTCTGATTGTCTCTGACATTAACAAACACATACTCACCCTGCAGAGATCTTGCTGTAGTGCATGTAGGCTGCGATAATGACGCCAGTTTTACCTTTGTTACCCTGTAAGAGGGAGAGGAGAGGACAAAGAAATGATGACGATGTGCTGATCTCACCCTCAGGTGTTATGGACAGCTCATTTTCACGCTTTATAAGACCAGATGGTTTTAACAGATTTTTCATAGAAAAAAAAAAAAGGAGCAAAGCAGAAGAGCAGGACACATGGGAGTGTCACGGCGAGATGTGAAAAAGGCTGCTTGACTTCAAATTAAAAAGCTCCCTGTGGTGTTTTTTTCACACTGGTTGCTCTTTACTTCCTGACACATTCCAAAGACATTCCAGCTCCGAATTCCTGAAGTGACCCTTCCAGATCCCAGTAGGGAGGCTGCACCTCCACACGCTGGGCACAAATTAAAGCTTGTTTTGCACAGCAGATCTCTCAGCGGAGGACGTTTCATTGACAACAACTTGTTTATTCACGTCCCTGGCGTGATCTGCAGCTGGCAAAGGATTGCTTGTAGCTGGAATGTTCTGGAAAGTTGGCAGACCACAGAAGTAGTCTGGTTTTAGGATTTCAATTCTCCTGACCAAAAACCAATAAATAAAACATCTAGACGAGGTCTGGGAGCTCAGACACCACCAGCATTAGCTGGTGACTGTTCAGTAATGGTCCAAGCGTTCAAATCACCACCTCTCTTCTGATTGGACGATGGAAAAGAGTCTCTAAACGATGTGCAAAGGCGTGGAAGTAAAATGTCAGGATGACAGAGTTTGATCTTAATTGCATGGTTAATTTTTTTTACCATGGGTGGAAGGAGCTTATTGAATTATATGGTGCACTCTGCAATTTTGGTTCTAGTCAAGTTGTGTGAACAGCAGTATCTAATAAAGTGTTCTTTACGGAGCAATTATGTCTGATTAAACATGCACAAGCAAGCAAGAGAAATACTAAACTGTAACGTCACATGCCCAAAGGTCAGCTAGCCATTTGTTTCTATAATATTGCTGCTCACAGTTTCACAGGCTTGTTTCAGGCATCTGCTAGTGTTGGGATCCGATACTGCTAAGTATAATTTGGATATGCTTCACTTCACTATTTCATCTTTATACTACTTCACACTTCTAGAATGGTACGCTACAGTAGAAAACGTTTTCCTTTTATTCATTAAATTAATTTGCTGAATCCTAATACTAGCTGCTGGTTGAGATTTTAGAATTCACAAATGCTGCTGATTTATAAATGTGGTGCACATGGATGGTAAGACCCAAGGTTTCTCCTGGAACATAACCCAAAGCATCACACTGCCTCCACCAGCTTGCTTTCTTCCCATAATGCATCCTGGTGCCTTGTGATCACCAGGTAAGTGACACACCTGAGCATCCACGCTGATGTCAAAGAAATGTGATTCATCAGACCAGCCCACCTACTTCCATTGCTCCAATGGAAGAAGGTGGGCTGGTCTGATGAATGGGCTGGACTTCTACTCCACATGCTGTAATGATACATAAGTTCTGATGCTCACGTGTCCATTGTTGTGCTTTCTGAGGTGGACCGGGGTCAGCACACAGATCCTGTCTGGTCTGCAGCTATGCAGCCCCATACACAACAAACAGTGATGCCCTGTCTATTCTGACACGTGTCTAACAGGATCAGCAGTAAATCTTTTGACAATTTGAGCAACCGTAGCGGATCTGTTGGGTCAGATCACATGAGCCAGCCTTCACTCCCAGCATGCATCAGTGAGCCCTGATATTTTGCAAGCTTGTTTGGAAACATCAGTCATTACAGACACGTCGCATGTGCCTGTTTTAAAGCCTGGGAAATGATGTGATGTCCGTCTGAGAAACCTCAGAGGGCCCTTAAAGTCTGACCTTGCAGTGTAAGACCACCACGTGCTGGGGGTCAGAGTTCAACCAGTTCTCCATGGCCTTGCATATGGCACAGATCTTATCCAGCGGTGGGGCGTGGAGGTCGGGCCAGCCAAAGTCGTGGACCTGATGGTGGGTGGAGACGGGAGAAGCAGATTAAATGAACGTTTCTGAAGTGAATTCTTAACATGAAGAATTACAGGAAGTCCTACCTTTGGGTTCAGTCGGGTGATATCGTGGCGCCTTTCAGAAAGATTCAGGAGCTGAAAACAGAAAGGTTTGTTTTTTTTATATCATCACTACACTGCATCACAGTAACAAGCTGTCATCACTATTATTTTATTATGGGCGTGACAGAAAAAAACAAACAGACTGCTTATTTGTGGGTTTCTATTTTGTCGCTTCCTGTGGCTATATGCCAAAGTGTATTGTGCAACAATGCTTCAAATGCTTCAAATGTATTTAGCTGAATGCTCCCAGGAGTAAACAATGTCTTGCAAAGGCTTCCGTACTTACGGTATAACTCAGCTGATGAGTGTATTGCATTTCTCTTCACTCACCAGAAACTTTTCCTGGTGTTTGGACTTGAGCATGGCAGCCACCTCCTTCAGGTTCAGCCGGTATCTCTGCTCTTCCAGCTTCGGAGGGAAGAAGACGGAGATGATCCTCTCGGTGATGTAGGTCAGGTCAAAGTCGTAGTTTCGTTCCATCACTCGCTCCATCACACGGTCCACACTGAAACTCCTGGAGGAACCGAAAAGAGACAGCAGGGGTCAGTGGGTTGTTTGTGGTAGCTTAGCACAGACCCTGAGACGCACTCTGAAGAAGCTCCTAACTGGATGAATGGAGAGAAACCATCACGTAAGAGAGAAACTGGGTAGTGCTTCACAAGCAGGTCACGCAATAAAAACGTTTGTCTAAGGAACAGGTATAAGATGGTGCAAGTTTCAGAGCAAGCGGAGCGTTGTGCCAGTGTAGAGACATTATTTGCATTTGTATTTAATGATTTCTGTAGAAACTTCCCCAACATGAAAAATGAATGAAATGGTGTTACCTTGGCAGGGTGTTTCTCTGTTTGGTGTAGGTTAAAGATTTGGTGGATCCCTGTAGAAAAAACAAATATGCAATAAGACACAGTCAAAGCTCATCTATACCTCATTACCACTTTAACAATGACGTACTTTGGGCCCTTTTTGATAATGATAACAAATGAGCAAGTTACTTATCTGTCCACATTGGATATGGACTACCCTCAAGTCCCTGAAGTTTGCCTTTCAGGCCTCCTTTGAAAACTTGTTCATCTCTTCTCTCACAGTAAACTGGACACTCTCTAGTCAATCTTGTACACAGTAAGTTAAGTAAATTATAATAAATTAAGATGTCAAATCATGTCATCGCATTGACCTGTGCATTGTTTTAATGTTCCACTGGAGATATAATTTACACTGAGATAAAACGGCAGAGAGCAAAGGTATGGCATTAAAGTTGTGGAACCACGATCCTCCTTCAAGATTTCAGCCTGAAGGCAGGACGATCGTGGCTCAAGAGTTGGGAGTTCGCCTTGTAATTTGAAGGTTGCGGGTTCGAGCCCCGGCTTGGACAGTCTCGGGCGTTGTGTCTTTGGGCAAGACACTTCACCCGTTGCCTACTGGTGGTGGTCAGAGGGCCCGGTGGCGCCAGTGTCTGGCAGCCTCGCCTCTGTCAGTGCGCCCCAGGGTGGCTGTGGCTACAATGTAGCTTGTCATCACCAGTGTGTGAATGGGTGGATGACTGGATATGTAAAGCGCTTTGGGGTCCTTAGGGACTAGTAAAGCGCTATATAAATACAGGCCATTTAAAGCGAACAGCTCCAGTACATAAAAGACGGTCACAACCACAGTGATTTCAGCCATTGGTTAGTGAGAGGTTTTGTTGCTGTGAACCTTTTGTTCTATTGTTGACCAATAATGTTACAAAATAAACATAATGTTTTATACATTACATATAATATGTTGCCACGGGTTTCTCTAGAACCAGACTTCTTCTTGAGACCAAAGCCCCTTGTTCGCTCTTTAGGTTTAAGGCACTTACCATGTTTTATTTACAGTCTATGGGATGAATTTAAAAAAATCTAATCTGCAGATTATTATTAACCCTTTCTTGTTCTGAGGCACTTTGATCCTTTGTTTGCACATTTACAAAGCTAAAATATGTCACGATGAAGAAGTAGGTTAAATCTGCCCAACACACTAGTTCTTTAAGGGATAAATCACTTTGAGCTCAATTACATACTTCATGGCCTTTAGTAAAGTATCTGCCATCGCTCTCTCTTCGATTTGTTTAGTATGTGATAAATCAAAATGAGTGAAGCCACAAACTTTTTATTCCTTGACAGGTTTGGACATTGCCCAGACAGACAGCTTGATACTGGCGGCGTGTAGGAAAAAGGGGGAAGATACAGAGCGAAAAAGCATGAGGGTTATGAGGAGGACGAGGAGAGAGCATGGAGGTCTAAGTATGCTCACCAGGTGTTGGATGTGTCGAGAAGGAGCCGTCCCTCTACGCTGCTGGATGTGAGGAAGGAGCGGTGATAGGATGAAGGTGAAGTGAACGAAAGCGAGAAGAAGAGGGGCAAAGGGAGGAGGTTGAAAGGAGGTGAGAGTGGGGAGAAAGGGGAGAGAAGAGGAGGCAATACAGAGGAAGGAAAGGAGAGTTAATTAAACAAACAGACTCCCTAATAGGTAAACATTACTACTTCCTACATCAACTCTTTTTTTTTTTTTCCTCTTGTGGACTGAAATCCCACAGAGCTCGAGGAATGAGCACTAACTGGGCTGAGGGCTCGGCTTCCCAAAAGGAATTCAGCAAGAGGAAACCATACAGTGGTTTTGGGGAGCCATGCCTCCTAACTATGGACAGACAGGGTGGGAAAAGTTTCTTTTGAGGAAAAGAAATGAGGAAATGGAGGGGACTTACCAGATCATTGGAGGGAGCTGGGGTGCATGCAGAGGTCACCTAGAACACACAAATGCAGACACATCTGAATACATGAATGACACACATGCCCACACACACACACACACGCACACACACACAAAGAGGATAAAAAAGCAACAAAACCAAACATCCTTTTCGCTTGAGGACAGAGTGATGAGGTCAGACGTGAGAAGCAATTACTTCCTAAAACAAGATGATAGGGAGGAAAATCCACAAATAAAACTGAGAAGCCGTTAAGTAGAAGCTGGAAGGTTTACGATGATACAGTCCACTCATACACAGCATCTGTATTTAATATGAAGCTGCGACATGATTAGTCCCATGACTGCAAGGCTATGTTGCCCATCAAGCTCTACACTTACATTTCCATTTTGGTTTTTGCAAATTACAAACAAAGACATAATGAAGGTTTGTGAAAAGTATTAAAATTGTACTCGAGAAGATATAACGTGCATCACACTCAAGATCCACACAATTAAAATCCTATTTAACATTCTCACAGTCAGTTATATACCGATCAAACACAACATTATGGCCGCTGACGGACGACATGACTAACACTGATTATCTCTTCATCATGGCACCTGTTAGTGGGTGGGATATAACAGGGAGCAAGTAAGCACTTTGTCCTCAATGTTGATGTCTTAGAAGCAGGAAAAACAGACAAATGTAAGGATCTGAGCAGTGGTCACTGACTGCAGTGTTTAGTGTCTATCACAAGTGGTCCAACGAAGGAACATTGGTAAACCAACAACAGGGTGATGGGTGGCCAAGGCTCACTGATGCATATGGGGAGTGAAGGTTGGTGCACGTGGTCCGATTTGAGCTACTGTAGCTCAAATTGCTGAAAGAAATAACAAATAAAAATGCTGGTTCTGATAAAAAGGCATCAGATTATACAGTGTATCACAGTTTGTTGCGTATGTGGCTGCATAGCTGTAAACCAGTCCATGCTACAACCTGTCCACCACTAAAGGCACCATCAATGGGCACGTGGGCATTCGAACTAATGCAAAGGAAGAAGGTTGCCTGTGTGATGATCTGGTCTGCCACAAAGCAGAAATAGCTTGAGGAGCACACCAATGAGTCTGAGGTGTTGAGTCCATGCCTCGATTGGTTTAGGGCTGTTTTGGCAGCATAAAGGGGACAAACACAACATTAGGCCATGTTATGTTTGATTGGTATATGGTGTCTTCTTGCCAAGATCTCACTCAACAAGGCCTTTAGAAAAAACAAAAAACAAAAGGAAAAAGGTTGTACATGGTTTTGGGATCGTTTTGCTGACTCACAGACTGGGCAGCAGGTATATATCCAAAGGTTTGGCACAACTTCACCTACTTCCAAGGGACATGGAGAAAGATAAAGAGCTGGTGGAAAGAACAGTTTGTGTTAAAAATAAAAAAGTAGACTCCAGAAAAAAATCAAATAAACCAATCACCCATTAACGCATAAATAGGCTGAACAATCAGCATTCAAGGGGATGATGCTTGCTGGCTGGTTAAACCAAAGGGTCTGGACTGACTCATTACAGATTTAAAGATGTTTAAAGAACCCTCACGAAACGGCAACTTATGAAAAAAGGTAAAACATTAGGGTTCAGGTTGTTAGAGCTTCACATGATTGCCCAACAACAACTGTGATATAACCTACATAGCCTACAAGGTAATTTTGAATTTGGGTCTTGCATAAATTACCAATACACTTAAAATCATCTAAAGACCCTATAATTGGCAAGATTATTTATGTAAAAAGCTTTATTAATAAAATATATATATATATTGTGTCCTCTCAAAGGCTACGTTCACACTGCAGGTCTTAATGCTCAATTCCGATTTTTTGATCAAATCTGATTTTTTTGTCTGCTCGTTCACACTACAAATAAAATGCGACAGCAAACGCGCTCTAGTGTGAACCCTCAAAGCGGCCCGCATGCGCAAAAGAAGTTCAGACCCAGAGCAAACAATATTGTTTGACTGATGGCCCTTAATATAAAGACTTCGGACTTTACGTTTCCCAGTTTTTGCTTTAGGTTATATTGTTATTTACATAATAATGTAAATTACCTAATAATGATCCTTATTGCTGTCATGGTCCTGGGTCGTTGACCCAGCGTTTTGTGTTTTGTGATTAATTCCCTCTGTTCTAGTTATTCTGTGTCCTCCCCCCTTGTGTCCGGTTCGGGTTCTAGATTTCCTGTTTTGTTCTGAAAGTCTGTGTCTGTTGTCATTGTGCTCAGCTTGTGTCCTCCAGTCATCATGTGTATTCAGATCAGCTGTTCTTCCCTCCTGTGTGCGATTACCCGATTACCGTGTGTGTGTATATATAGTGGGTGTCGGTCTGTGTTCGTTGTCGGCTCGTCTGCATTCTTCCGTGTATCTCTGCGTTCTATGGTGTTCCTGTCTCTGCGTCTCTCTGCCCCGCACCCCTTTTGTATGGTCCCAGGTTTGTCACTTAGTTTCTCCCAGTTTAGGTTTCCGTTTGTAATTACTCATGCTTCATTGCCTGTTTTTGCCACTGCCACCGTGTAAATAAACGTCACTCGTATCATCAGTTTGCTGCATCTTGGGTCCTCCTTTTCCTCCACACCACACGGCTCCCTCCGCCAGCCGTGACAATTGCTGTTTTAGAGGAGGGTGCTTCAAAGGATAGTTGCAGATTTCTGTCAGAATCTGCAGATTATACAGTACAAATAAAATGTTCACGTTTCTCCAACGTTGTCTTCCCAACAGTTTCACTGACATCTACGCTGGATGGCCAGGAAGCGTTCGCGATGTCTTCTCGGGCGCTTCTCCGGCGCTGATAATTGGCGTCTGTCTTGTGTCAGTGACGTAAAAGACGGATTTAATGCGACATGACCGTTCAAACAGCAGTCCTTTCTAAAACATCGGATATGTATCGGATTCAGTACCACATACGAAAGTGACCCAGATCGGATTTGAAAATATCGGATTTGTGCCGTTCACACTGTCATACCATGATCGGATATGGGTCGCATAGGGTCAAAAAAATCGGATTTGATGCGCTTTCGCCTGCAGTGTGAACGTAGCCTAAAGGATAATACAATCAGATCTATTTAAGGAATGATTTAACCAGGCCTGTTGAAGACATTTTAATGAAAAACACTGTAGCTCATCTTTATTCTTTATAGGTATTAAAGCTGTTAAGCCCAGTCAAAGAGATATCAGTTTTATCAGGAACAAGAGAGAGCTATTGTGGATATTCCATTTAAAGAGTTTATTTCCAACAGGTATGAATGAGGATCTATTTATTCTATATGGGTCCATACCTCTGAGTGTTAAATTAACACTTTTGACAGTGTTATATGTTTAAAAGTAACCTAGTCAGTTTTGAAGATTAACAATGGCTAACACTGAGCAGTGCTGATTTTCTAACACTGGAAAATAACTCAAAATGTTAGAAATATTCCAGTGTTAGAAAATCAGCACTGCTCAGTGTTAGTCTTTGTTAATCTTCAAAACTGACTAGGTTACTTTTAAACATATAACACTGTCAAAAGTGTTAATTTAACACTCAAGGTGTGGACCCATATAGACACTCTCTAGTGTTAATTTAACACTGGAGATTTTGCTGTGTAGAGAAGAAATAATGTCAACAGGACTTTGGATCCTTAATCAACAACAAACCAACTCGGTATTCTTGTGAAAGAACATGTAACTGCCCAAAAGTCCCACATTTTAATCAGGCGTTTAAATGTATTAACCACGACTGGGAGAACTGCCCGTCCTATTTTAAGATCACTGATATCACGCAGGATGCAAAGACAAAACCAATGCACATGATAAACACAGCACAAGATCGAGATGTCCTTGAGTTCCGAGTAATTACAAGAACAACTCGTTTTTGAGAGTGTGTTTACAAAATGTGAAGCATGTGCAAACGCGAAGCCAGATATCCTGGCTACACAGCTGGAGGAGCACTGAGACAGAAACGCACACACACTTGGAATGACACATCCGATTCCCATGTCTGTTATGGGCCTACAGGTCAATGAACTGTGACCAAAGGAAGCAGGGGCTGAACAGCAGCCCTAATGAAGGGGGCTGAGGGCCACAGTCAAGCTTACGTAACGTACGACAACACGTGTGCACGCACACACATACGCAAAAGGCAATGTTCCACCGAAAGAGCCCTTTTTGGACTGTTTATTTGGACACAGGAAAAGGGCAAGGGCTTGTGTATATCTCATTGTGCACAAAGGGGAAGTTACACAGGCCCTGAACCCAGGGGGCGTGTCACCACAGTGACTATGTGCTGTGGAGTTTGTGTTAGGCGTTCTTTCTTTAGAATAAAGTGCAGTCTCTTAGTGTTGCCTGTGTGTGACACAGACATCAGCAGGAAGGCAGAGGAGCAGACAATGAGCTAAATTGAGGGACAACGTTGTTTGATAAGTTGCAGGAAACTGGTTCAGGTTTAACATCGGCTATCAAATGACTAACTGGACAATGTTCCTGTATGACTCACTCTAAGAATTAATGTTTCTTTTCCATGTCCACAGGGGACTGAATCTCAGATCTTTTCCTGTGTACTTTTTTAAAGCTGAGTCTGAACCCACTGCATCAAAAGGCAGAGTTTGGGCTGGGCCAGGATCTAATTTCTCTTAATTCCCTCTGGCTGGTGAAGGTCAGTTTCATTTTAAAAGAGTCTTTTTTCCCATTTTTTTCTCCCCCAACTAGAGCAAGTGAAGCAGCACATTTTCTACTGTGTGGTCCATTCTGCTATTCTTAAATAACACAAAACAGTCTTCTTACAGCCCCAGTCAAATATATCTTTGGCTCTCACGTGGAAGAGAAATGATTCTTTTCATATGTTATCAAATTCTCTTTTCGGGACATATTCTAAAGCGTTTAAGATAGACACTGCCTGCATTAATTACTACACCCCTTCCTTTGGGTGTGGGTTTGAACTCAGGGTCAACGTTCAGGGCTCAAAATTTAGGCTACTATGAAAAAAACAAAACAAGCGCCATATCTGAAAATCTTAAAAATCTAGTTCATACG